AAAAAAAGAGAGAGATTGGAGTTATTGTCTCCTTCCAACGAACCAGACAAGCTCAATTCCATGCAGACCCCGGCGATTGGATTGCAACTATCTCCGTCCATTTATGACAACCACCAAGGTGGACACAGTGTGATGGACCTCTTCACCTTTGAGGTATCATCGCGACAGCATGTCCGCATACTGCCGATGCCTCGCCTCAACATTGATGCTGTCGAAAAAGAAGGCATACGGTGAGGGAAAGAAACACTAATCTTTCACAAACCGTGAACTTGTGGAATGTATGTTACTGGTAGGTTTGCCGGAGCAAGGATGGATGGTGTCAATGAAAATGAGAGCTACCTCCAGTCTATGAGACTCTTCGGACGAAGATTCAATGGAATCCACGGAATCAGAGATGAAGATTCTGAGGATCGGAACGCCCCAGGGCTAGACCAAGAGCATCCAAACAGTATGCCACACGACGATTGACTCCGATGAAGAAGGAGAAGAGGGATTCAAGGAATCCCAACAAGCACTAGTCCAGACAACCCTACATTGAAGAGACGCACCAGCAGTGGATACACAATAGATGGAAACCTCGCTGAGACCAGCCAAAGCTTCCACCCAAGCTTACTCGAGTTGGAATTAGACGTCTCAGCCTCGGATCGCCACAGCCGAAGCACAAGAAAGAGTCAACCTATCATCCCAAGATGACGAAACGATAGCAACCACTACTGTATGAGACAGGGACAAGCAAACATCTAGCTTTGTTCAATGGACTCCTGTACATCACTAGGAGTCAAGCAGAAGTCTAAGGATGAGAGCAGCCACGCCAAACAACATCTTCTACCAAGGGTACTGAAAGTGTGGAGGCAACAAACCAGAAAGGCGGCGCTAAAAGAGATGGACCAGCTAACAAGCAGAGTGTGTTTCAGTCCAGTCGACCCCAAACGAAATGCATTGATTCTGATTTGAAAATAGGCACAAGACATGGCACCTCGATGTTCGGGGTGAGTGAGAAAAGGCGATGGCAGTCCAAGAGCCCGTGCGAGTCTACAATGGAAAACCACAAGGGTGTACACTAGAAGAGAAGACGCACAAAGTCCAAACAGTTTCACTTTGAGGGTTTGATGTTATCCATGATGTGTCGATCATCCTGAAGATAGGGATGGATGTCCCTGGATGTTCCCAATGCGTCATCCAAACCCCAATGCCCAGAAGTCAAACAAGGTAAGAACAGTGCGTCCTCATATCATTGAGGGAACCCTTCGAAGACTTACTTTGTCGAAATTGATCTCTGACACTATGCCTCTTTCTGCCATACAAGAAGGGACGACCAGTCCTCTATGTCGTTGTGGAAAGAGCCATCTACGGAAGGTTTTGGCAGCATTGCTCTGTACAAGCTCTTCAGCGACCTGGAGGGAATCGATTCGTATTCAACCAGTAGATCCGTGTGTTGCCAACAGATGATTGAAGGATATCCAGCGAACGCTTCATGTGGACGACCTGATGTCGAGCCACGGATGAAACTGGTAAACAATAGAACCCTGGAGTGGTTCAATGACAAGTAGGACCTATGGAGCCGTGAAGGCAACCCGTGGTCCAAGATGACTACCTTGGGATGACGGTGGACTTTTCCGATCCAGGCAAGGTGGTCATTGACATGATTGACTATCTTAAGAAGATGATCTTGGAGTTCCGGGGACTTCGAGCAAATGAAAAGGTGCCCAGGCGGCACCTGCCGATTTATTCAGTTCTGGTGATGGAGCTGCTTTGGATGACAAGACAGAGAAATCTATCACACCAACGCAGCCAAGCTGTTGTTCGCGTGTAAGAGAGCAAGACCAGATGTCAGACACTGACAATTGTTCTCTGCACACGTGTGAGGAACCCACAGTTGATGACTGGGGAAAGTTGATCCAAGGATTGAAGTTCCTGACCAAACAGGTGGAGGACAAGTTGATACTCCACGTTGATGATATCCGGTTCATCACTGGTGGGTGGATGCATCATTTGCAGTCCACCTGATTACCGCTCCCATACAGGAGAGTCATGTCCTTTGGAAGAGGCGGTGCTTTCTGTATCCGCGAAACAGAAAGCTCAACAAAGAAGCAGCACTGAAGGAATGATTGAGCTGACGATGTTATGTCGCCATGTTGTGGGCAAAGTTGTTCTTGAAGAGCAGGGGATCGTTGTGAAGGACAACATCCTCATGCAGGACAACAAAGCACGATCATTCTTGCAAGAATGGCAAAGGCAGTTCGGGCAAAAGAACTCGGGCTATCAACATTCGTTTCTTTTTTATTCATGACCAATTGAAAAGGCAACCTTAGAGTTGTGTACTTGCACCAACCTTGGAGATGCGTGGAGATTTTTTCACGAAGCCCCTTCAGGGCAAGCTCTTCCACGAGCACAGGGCTTTCATCATGGGGCATCCACCCCTTGTTTGATTTGCCTAATTTTATTTTATTCGTTCCACGGTAGCCACTTAGGGCACCGTGCGGGAGTGTGTTGGAGAAACATACCTGACACCCTCTTTACTATTGACTGTGTATTAACATCTAGTCCGGTTCGCATTTAAATTGATCATGCAAGGAACAAAGGGAGTTTTAGGTCTAAAGTGTTGCGGGGTCCTTATATCCAATTCAATCACAAGAATTGCTATGACCACCAGAAAATCCTCACTTTGCTTTTCAGCTTAATCTAAAACCAAATTACTCCCCAATAAGCTGCAGTATTACTAGCAAAACAACAGTCGAGCGTGCTCATCAAACATACGTAACTTGATGCTGTTTCAAAACATCAGTGCCAAGACGACCTCGTGAATGATCCTGGATGGAGTCCTAACGGCGGTGCTTTGCAATGAATGCCACGATTCATCCACCTTGCCCGCAACGCCCGCACAGCTCGTGTTAATCGTGACGCGATTCACAGCGTCCGTTTCGAAGAACTGGAAGAAAACAGAAAGTCGCCAACGACTAAACCAAACAAAACAACGACAGGGAAAACGCAACGCGTGTCCCTCATCAATACAATGTTCAACGATACCGTGATGTTTCAACAGTATCAGCACCGCAAGTACGGTCAGCCAAGTACAAAGGTCCTTACACTATAGACCGATTCAATGACAATGGCACTGTCGGCTCCAACATGCTACCGCCAAGGGCGGCACAGTCTACCAGACTTGGAACATAAGGTATTTACACCATACAAGGCCTGATCCCCTTGTAGGATTGCCATCGTGCGACGCACATGTCTACATCCAAATCTCATGAGAGTGCCCCGCACTTTAATCATATGTTCTCCTTGTCCGACTGCTGTCGCGCCTTCTGTGACCTTGTCAGGGGCGAATGCAATACACGGCTCTAGCCTTATTCGCGACTCGATCCTAGATAGGGTTTGAGTTCGACTCATGACTGAGTCTCTCGTGAATAGTCATTTGAGACAGGGTTCTCATGACCGCGCTAGTCATACTAGGTTGATGATGAAACATCGCTCTAGATATTTAGCCAGCGTGGAGTACTTCACGCTACTAGATCCAGGCTAGACAAACCTTCCACGCGTTCCGTTTTAGGATCGTGGAGAGACGTAGGATACTACCGCAACCTACTCTATCACACTTTATAGTCTCCCGCGGGAAGCCAGATCTACGATCCTTGATGATGATCTCTCTCGTTGATTAGTTTTCATAGCTTTCTAATCCCTCTCATAACTTTCATTCTCTCAAACTCAAAACACTCGAAAGATCTTTACACTAGCTTTTAGCGTAGTGCACGAGGAAATTTTTGAGGAGGAAGAAGGTTTGACTCAAGTCTTGAACCAGATTGCCGGTGCCACGCCTTCCAAGAAGTGAGGAAATAGTATAGTGATGATGAGGAGATCGTATAGTGATCGTAACAAGTATAGGACAGCTCATATTGTGGAAATCGAGCGGTAAAGGCCGCTGCTTTCGCCATGGTCGACTCTTTTCGTTTGTTCGTTTGGTTCCACGAGTTTTGTGAACTAGTTGGTTGCCAAATACTATCGGATATAGATTCGAATATTCGTGGATTGGCCAGGTGTGACGAAGAAGGAAATATATTCGTGTCGGTATATCATATTAAAAAGCAAGCCATGCCGTGGAGAGATCTTATCGTGGCAATGACTGCCGATACTTAGGAACGATAGACATGGCTGGCGGTGGTTCAATTATGGGGCATCTATTCAAGAGTTAGAGAAAATATCTTGCGCTATTTTTCGCCATGTGCTATTTCTATGCTGACAACTCATACATGTATTAGCAGCGAAGCTCCTGCTACTTTTAAGCCAGCAAGGCGTTATTAAACTGCACTCACTACTACCGGTTCGTAGACTTCCTTCCTCGAGGTACGCATACCGGTACACTACCTGGTATGGTACTGGTACTAGTTAAAGGTAGGTAGCTCTACTACATGTAGCTAGTTGCCAACTTGAAACAACACAGGAGTACCAGTATCATCCACCTGAAAGTCAATGTTAGACTACTTGAAGCCTGAATGCAAGAAACTAAGTCTTCTTCCAATAAGATATTTATTTGTTATTCATTAATCGACTGAACTGAACAGTGGTCACCCTACTGTTGTACCGGTATGATCCCAAGAATAAAGCGATTGCTTTGCCCCCCATGGTCGTATTGACGGGACGGAATGCTACATCAACCTCACAAGACAAATGGGCACAACCCACTAGGAGCTGGCTGAAGTAGGGCCGGCCAACTAGAAATCAGCATCCAGTTCAAAGGTATGGTGCGTTGTCTCGCCGACACCGCTCTTGGCGTATTCTCCAACTCGCTTCTCGAAAAAGTTGGTCTTCCCTTGAAGACTGATCATCTCCATCCATTCAAATGGATTGGTGGCATTGTAGTGCTTGGGACAGTCCAAGGCAACCAAGAGACGATCGGCGCAAAACTCAATGTACTGGCACATCAAGGTTGAGTTCATACCAATGAGTTCCACTGGAAGAGCATCCTTGACAAACTCCTTCTCAATGTCGACAGCATTGGTGATAATCTCGTTAATGCGCTCCCTGGGCAACTTGTTGAGAAGCTTGGAGTAGAGCAGACAGGCAAAGTCACAGTGCAATCCTTCATCCCGGCTGATGAGCTCATTGGAGAAGCAGAGTCCGGGCATGAGTCCACGCTTCTTGAGCCAAAAGATGGCACAGAAAGATCCCGAAAAGAAGATTCCTTCTACCGCTGCAAAGGCAACACATCGCTCCGCAAAGGAGGCATTCTGGCGGTCACACCATTGGAGGGCCCAGTTGGCCTTCTTGCCGACACAACCGACAGTTTCAATGGCATGCAAGAGACGATCCTTCTCGCGGGTGTCCTTGATGTAGGTATCAATCAGGAGAGAGTAAGTCTCCGAGTGGATGTTCTCAACGGCAATCTGAAAGCCGTAGAAGCAACGAGCTTCTGCCGACTGGATCTCGGTGGCGAAGTTTTGGGCCAAGTTTTCGTTGACGATACCATCCGATGCAGCGAAGAAGGCCAATACATGCGAGACAAAATGTCGCTCGTTGTTGGAAAGCTTCTTCTCCCAGTCCTGAAGATCGCAGGCGAGATCGATTTCCTCGGCCGTCCAAAAGGACGCTTCGGCCTTCTTGTACATTTGCCAAATCTATCATGGAACGAAGTAACAAGTGAAATGTGAGTGTAAAGATGTTGGCATCCTCGAATCGACACTATCTTCCGCGTCATTACTTGCTTACCTCGTTATCTTCAATGGGAAAGAGAACAAAGCGGTGTGGGTTCTCCTTCAAGAGAGGCTCTTGCACAGGGAACCCATTTTCTTCCAAGATTTTGTGATCAGATTTGCCAATGTCACGGATGGCGACCGAGGCATCGAACTCATCCGAGTCACTACTAGGATAGCTGTCGGTGTTGCTGCTGTCATCCGAGTCGGAGAACTCAGTCTTATCAGGGCTAATAGGCACAGGCACCGCGTTGGTTGGGATAATCATATCGTCTCGAGTGGGAGAATGGGCTCTCTTATTGGCATCAAGTTTTGTCATCATCACGAAACCGACGTTATCCATTTCCGTGGCTGGGAAGGGACTCTGGCTGCTGGAAGAGGCGCTGGCCGATGAGAGGTTGGACTCCATGCGGTGGAATGAGTCTTCGATGTTGTGGAGAGGCATGATGTTTGGTTTGGAAAGAGCAAGAGGTATATTATAGTAGCAATGGCAGTTGTTTGACTTTTCTCGCATCAATTGATAAATTTGTGAGGAGCTCCTGTTATCACAAGCGTCAGCTCCGGAGGCGCCAGCAGGTCACACCGGCCGTTCCTCGCGCGAGTTTTGAACGCCGCCAGCCCGATCTGAGACATAAAATGGCGGTCTTTAACAAATCAAAAAAGACGGTAAAGGCCGTTAGAAGAATACTAGCCAGTAGAGCTGTAAACCAGATTTTCCTCTTTGGCTAGAGGGTCGACCGAAAGGTGAAAGGTTACGAAGGAATCATCGGGTACAGACTAGTATGACCTCCTTTCATATTGCCATAAGACTGTGTATCGAGAAAATCTCTGTTGGTGGTGTCACCGAAAGCGATTTGATTGCGCCTTTCTCCATGAAGATGCGGGAGGCAGAGGATTGACTTTGGTTCTGTGGGATGTTTGGCTTATGTCGGAAGCAGAACTCTCTCTGTAGTAGGGACAGCAGCATAAGCAGCAGCACAGGAAGGACCAATCCACCTACTCTAGACCCCCGTGTTGTTTTCCAATGTGGAACAGAGTTTGATTTGATCTCTGAATACTGAAATAGTCGGCTTTGACAGAGGCAGAGCCTGACCCCTCAGAACAACATCAATAATTGCTGCCAAAGCAGAGCCAGGCTTAGCTACCGTACGGTAGCTAGTTCTGGGACTTGGAGCAGCTGGCCTGGGCAAGATGATGCCTTTGAGATAGGCGCTACACGATATTATATTCTTGATCCGGTCCTGTTTGCTGTGCATCGCAACTAGGTGTAGAAAAAATGGTTTCACGGTGTACATGTTCGTTCTAGATCCGACCACCTTGGCTCTACGGCACCGGTAGTATGCATGCATGCCCAGGTTAATTGGTAGATGCAATGACGCAATACCCGTAGTGCAACCACACCATAATCAATCGTTTGATACGATCTGTACGTTCCGTCCGCTACGAGCATTTATCCTAGTAAATGGCCCGACATCGCTATCGCTTTCATTGAGAATGATGAACCTGCCCCTCAGCCATCTCGATTCTCTATGCAATACTAGTAGCTAGTAAGAACCGAATCGTGAATCAAATCTACTGTACGAGCTGTTCTGCATGAGCTACCTGGTACGCTGTGGTGGTGGTGCCTACTAGCTAGTGAGCAACCTGCTTGCACCGCCCAATTTGACAAACGATAGTACGCCAAACAAATCAGCGACACAACAAGCTTGCTTCTAACTCGAATTTTTATGTACAGTAGATTGTGTGCAAAGCAAATATCAAAATTCCACATGGATGAAATCAATCATCCAGAGGAACATCCTTCGAATTTGCTCACAAGCTGGTGATTGTTGGGGAGGTTCTTTCTTATTGATAATTGGTACCCATCGTCACATCATTAGTTTCAATCTGCTCTTTTCACCACCAATTCATTCAATTTCTGATGGATTCCATAATAAATATTCTGCAGATTGATGATTTTGTTCTTTCTATAAATTCATCCCAAACGTGATGCTTGTTGTTGTTTTTTTCTTGGATTTTCGGCTGCTGTTTGTTGCGGGAAATGAATCCAAAAGCTTGCATCTTTCTCAGCGTACCGTATCGTGTTATTCTTCCGAAGCTACAATAGGCTTTGGTGCTCCTGCTTGCTCTGTTCCATTAGCATTATCTGCTGCTTGTCCCTCTCCTTCTTGCTTTTGAAGTAATGGATGTGGTGCTCTTGGCACGTAGCCCTTGGGTGCTTCACCCTTTTTTTGTGCTACCTTCTTGTCGTGCTTGAGCATAACATGAACGCTGTCGTCCACCGTTTGAAGACCTTCTTTGGATGCTCCACAGCCCATCTTGCCAAATGTCGAGATAATCGAATATAGAATACTAACCAAAAGAAAGATCGATGGTGGCTATCATGTAAGAGCGGAGAGAAGATGGGTAAGAAGAACCAAATAAAATATACCCTTCCGAGTCGAGTCGAGTCCTCTTCACTCGATACATACCTCTCTTCGCTCGTAGGTCAGGACTCGTCAGGAGCCCAAATGCAAATGCAATTGCAAAGCCGTGACCCTGTCAATCTGTCAATGCACTGTGATTGCTTGGATGCTGGTGGAGTGAAGACGAATAACGAAAACCAAGCCGCTGCTGTGCGTCGAAGTGGGAGGGACGACACGCAGCTGTCAAAAAGTCAAAGTCACGCCGGAATTGTAAAAATGGAGCATAAACAAAGAGAGTTAACATCATGTGCCACTATTAAATCCCAGCTTACCTTGGATTGATCCAAAGTGCACCCCACACACCTCTCGTCCCTCTCCTCAAGATCGCAGAGATACAACTCCAGACCGGACACCTGCATGATGACATACATGTACTGGCGTATCATACTAGCTAGCTAGAAGCTGATTGCAGAGATCTCAGCAGAGACGGCAACCATGATTCGAGCAACCCAGTGCTTCCTGCCATCAGGATCATCATCCGCAGTGGCGAGGTTGGCAGGATTTCCCAAGCCACTTTGTTCTGTAAAGACTCCGCCAAGATGGCGCGCAATGTCAAGACCAAGGGCTCTTTCATCGTCCTCGAATAAGAATACGGCAAGCAGTGCAGGATGGCTGTCTGCTGGACTGGCTTGGTATGCCACAAAACTGGATACCCATCCCCTTACCACCAAGTGCATCAGCAGTGGACTGGTCTCGGCAGCAGGCGACATGATTTGTCAGTATCTGACTCTTCCTCCCACCTGTACCGATTCCTCTTCACAACATCTGTCCAACACTAGCTGGGACATGGCCCGGACGGGACGATTCGCCTGTCTGGGGGCCTTTTGGGTAGGCCCGGTCTTGCATCACTGGTATGGATATCTGGCGCTGCTTTCCAAACGAGTCTGGGTACGGGTAGCCATTGATCAGTTCGCTTGTGCGCCAATCTTTGTCACAAGCTTTCTGGCATGGCTTTGGTGGTGGGAGGGGGAATCGCCATCCACGCTGCCGTCACGATTACAACACAATGTACCATCTATTGTCTTGGCCAACTGGACGTTGTGGATACCCGCTCAGGCCGTCAATTTTACACTGGTACCGGTCAAATACCACGTTTTATTCTCCAACTTTGTGGCATTATTATGGAATGCTTATTTGAGCTATACATCCCACAACAGCAATGACGACAATTCGAAATCAGCAAGCAGTCAGGAAGAAAATTCAGAGCCTGGAGAAGAAACGTAAAAACAATTAATTCCGCTCTTTGCAGATTTCCTGTCCAAGCAATTCCATACCTGAATCAGAATCAATTCGTTGGGTTTGTTGAGCAAATTATGGGAGCAAAATGCGCCTCTAGCAAGCAAGAGGGCGCTCGTACATTTGAGGGGGAGCACTTATCCGTTCGCCGCATCCCCGCTTCCGTTTCTGGTCCTACGATATCTGGCACTATTCAGACAAGTCCCCGGAAGAGACGCTTGCAAGGGGATTCTGATCTCTGAAGCTCTTTCGTTAGTAGCGCACAGCTACTAGTACCCTTTAGCTTCCAAATATGATTATCTAGCTAGCTAGCAGCTAAATATCGTTATCTAGCAGTCATAGATCATAAATGATACTTCACAATCAACTCCATATGGTCCAGAACCTGGTGTACATTGGGTCGCACAGAGAGATCAGTGGCCCATGCATGCTTTAAGAGCTGCTCCAGTGGAGGTGGAAGCCGCAAATACGACAGGGCGGGGCGCTCCTCTCCCCAGACCACCCTCTGTAAGATGTCGAGATTGTTCCAATCGACAAAGAGGTCCTCCAGAGCCAGCAGATGCACCATCAAGATAGACCAGCTGTAGACATCGCATTTTCCATTGTACAGGTGTGGCTGTTTGACGACTTCCGGGGCCATATATCTTGGGCTCCCAACTGCTGACATGTGAAAGACCTGTTCATGATGACGGATGGTGGAGGCATTCGTCTTGTCGTGATAGTAGTGCAAGCTTCGCATCTCCTTCTGAGTCATGGTCGGTTCCCATGGTCTTGCTTTCGGGAGCTCACGGCAACTTCCAAAGTCAAACAGCTTGACCATCCCAGTCTCTTGGTCGAAACCAACGTTCTCGGGGCTTAGGGCCCGAAAGACGATGCGTCGATGCTGCAGGAAAGAGAGAACTTGAGCCAGTTGAAGACCAATTCGGCAGTGAATTGGGAAGAGTTCTCGCTTGTCGACGTCCTCGTCCTTCCACAGGAGGATGCGTTTGTCCAGAGTTTCAACGATTCTATCCACTACAATGAAGTAGTCGTTCTCTTTTGTGGCCACATCTGTTCCCTTTGAACGGAACGTTCTCCACTTTGAATTGGTCAAGCACTTGTGAATTGTAGATGAGACCCCATGCACTCGAACAATACCAGGATGATCCAGTCGAGACAGATAGATGGACTCCATGATCAAATCACATGCAGCGTCCTGGTACAGCTTACCCTGTGTACCGCCCAGTTCTACTCCTGGAAGCTGTTTGACAACGTATCTGGAAGGCTGGGATTCTTCCATTTCAAGCATATGTTCACCTTGTCTTGAAGGCACAATCGTGTCATTGCAGAAATGACGGATTTCGTGAACGCAAGCAAACGATCCCTCACCAAGCAAGGCGCCAAGCTCCAAGTCTTTGCGATCGATCACCTTTGGGTTTGCCGTCATGCGAGTCGATGCTTCGGATCCTCCTGCTGATAGAAAAGCAGAGTTCTGAATGCTGCGTTGTGTACGAAGCCACACTGTCTTTGCCGCTATCTGATGTTTCCAGCGCTTGACCACTGAAGGCAGCTGCATCGGAGGCAACTGAAGTAGTTTTTTGCTTGCCTTGGCTGCATCCTGCCATTGAACCTCTTGCTTTGTATCAGACGTTGCTATACGATAGCTGATCATCTTAGTTTTCCTCTTCGCTCCAGAACGCTGATGTTGTGGATCCGATTTTTTATGACAGTGCGTAACAATGCGAGTTGGCTTGGTTCTGACGGTTTGTTCGGGTCGCTAACTTGTTCCGAAATTGCGTCAAAGCGAACCATGGTGCGCACCTGTAGCCTCTTCCAGCTATAGCTAGCTATCAAACACAGGCAGCACCTACCGGTACCCTTCTGCCGCCAACTTTATGTGGAACATAGAGGGGAGTCTGGCTGAGCAGTTGCGCGGCTACCGGTAGCTGGCACCAGCCAAATGTTGGTGCCATCCTCGCTGACTAGCCAGCCACTCCTCGTTCAGGCTTCATAGCTAGCTACTGTACAATCAGTGCGATATCATCAGCCTTGTAACCTCTGGCGACAGGTAGTTGGTGATCTTGTACAGCAGCACAACTAGTTTTGCCTTCTTTCAGGCTAAAAGTTCTTTACTATTAAAATTGCAAGCTCGGGCGCCAGTGCGTGCGGATACTGGCACCAGAATATCTTCCATTTTTGCCTGTGCTTTGCTCATTAATTTTTTAGATGCATTATCATGTAGCGAATGAAAGGGACGGTCGCGGGTCGACCGTGCCTACCAGTTTGGCAGTGCTCTTTTAGCTTTCCTTGCCTTCTCGTTTTGGGTAGCATGCTGTTCGCTAGCTGCAATTCGGTGTGGGATCGCATCACGATTCCCGTTTGGATACCCCTGATGCGTTGATTTCTTTGCTGTCTGCTGTTATCAAGCATATCATCACCCCTGTTGTCAAGTAGTATGCTTGGTGGTTTCCTGAATCGATCCTTCTTGATTTCATGCGACAGCATGTGCTGCTCTGAATGCATGGGATCTGGCATAGAAATGAATACCATGCTTCAACACTGTGTTGGTCACGGCTCCGCTCCTCCTCAGCTCACTCTTTAACTTGGCGAATTGCTCTGGATCTTCCAACAGGAAAGTGATATCCCCCTCAGTTCGAAGTCTCTCTGCTTGCATCTCTAGGAACTCTTGTCGGGTCAGCACGAGGGGGGTGTTTGGCCTGATAAAGGAGGGGGCCACAGTAGCAGCCGCTGTGGCCATCCATCCAGTGGGAACAGTCTGTGTCATTGACAATCGTCTGCGCCTGTTGCCAGCACGCGTTGGTGTTGCTGGTGATGGCTTAGGGGATGCAGGGGCTTGATTCCGTCGCCAAGTCATTGTGTTGCTGCTGGGAGGAGAAGGGGGGACATCATCAGGAGCTTTGTTTCGGCGCCAAGTCATCATCTTGATAAGAGGGTGTTTATTTGTAGTAACAAAGGGTGGATGATGGTGGGTGCGAAGAAGGGAATAGAGTCAATTGTGTGACAATTATGCTGGTCCCTCTTTGGCGAATGGTGTCCTGGTGACGAGAGGGCAGGACTTCTACAGTTTCCTACATCCTACATCCTACAGGGTGCGAATGCAATCGTGGGGTCTGATCCATGCCAATCCATGCAGTCACAGTGCACAGTGCACACAGTGTGCAGTTGTTGAGCATCTGAACTTGTGACCGCATTCTTTGGTTCCGAGCGTTTACTCGTAAACAACTCTTGAGCCATTAACTCCATGAGACATGCAAGTTAAGTGTTTGCTGTACCTTAGCCATCTCGTTTGTTAACACCAAGGTTGCCGAATCCACGGAGAAGTTCTAGTAAGATAACCCGCGAATAAACCAAGGAGCTCCAAGCTCCAAGCTCCAAGGTCCCATCCAAAACGAATACTAGCTAGACTATTAATAGTACAGTTGGTCGTTGGGCCTACCGGTACCGGTACGCACTAAGTCATTGCCTACATTGGTACATTGCTTGCAAGGGCAGCAGTGGCTATCTGTCGGACATGCTGGGACATCTTACGTATGGAGGGGCCTCGAAAGATCCTTGGTTTCGTTGCCAGGAAGAGAATGGCGTCCGAGACCCGGGAAGGTCGATGCAATAGTGCAATGGTACGCGCGAAGGCTCTATCTAGATGCTTTGAGCGATGCGAAGGCAGAGTTGCTGTCATCAGTACGGGCGGGTACGAAGCAAGCGAATGCAAAATTTTAATTTGAGGAGTTTGCAACGAGTGAAATGGCAGAGAAGCGTTATAGTCGGGGGGAGTTCTGCCTCGTACCGGTACGCATAGCAAGGGTGCTGCGAAAGAACGAAGTCAGCTGGCAACCAAGAAGAGCCCCCTCCCGAAGTGGGTATCATCTAGACTCTAGTCTAGCATTATTGGGAAGGATTCTGTTCTGGGTTAGAATGGGTGAGGATTGGTAGACAAGGTGTTTGCCTAAGGTGCAAAATGATCAGGGGCCAAAGACCACAAAGAACCATAGGAGGTACCGGAACCATGATAGATAGCTAACTTGCATGTCCTCTCACGTGCTGTGTCCCATCATGCTGTGCTGCATCATTCATCTACGTGTCCACATCCCCGTTGCATTGGGTTCTCCCGCCGCCCACACAAGTTATTCTGACCTCTACTAGTTAGTCCTGCCTCTTCCCCTGGCCCATCCCTTTCAGCCTATTCCCTCGTGACTGCCTCTCCTTCAGTTCCATCTACTCGATGGTTCCTATCCTCCTGGGGCAAACCAAGGTGGGGCTTTGGCAGTTATCCCAGTGTAGACATAAATTCCAGCTCTCCTGCTTTTTCGTCTACGGTAAGAACACTCAAGTACACACACTGGCTTCAGTGGATTGAATTAATGGCTGGGTTGGCGTAGGGCACGGGCCTCAGGGCCAGGCAGCAACTGCCAGCAATACTATACTTCGTGTCAACTTACGATGAATACAAACGCTAGTGGTACCATCTTCATTTAGCCAGAGAGTTTTGTATTGTTACCCCTGCTAATACCCGTGACCCCCATACAAGTACATGTACCATAGCCATGCCTCATCACTATTTTTAGGATGTTGTTCTGGGTCCGAAAGCGTGAGGATTGGTAGACAACGTGTTTGCTAAGGTACAAAAGCGGTGGGCCAAAGACCAAACAGAACCACAGGTAGTGCCTGAACAATGATAGATAGCTTGCATGTCCTGCCTCTCATGTGTGTCCCATCATGCTGTGCTGCATCATACATCTACTTGTCCACATCCCCATTGCATTGGTTTGCACACAGCCCACCAAATCTATTATGACATCTACTAGTCCTGCCTCAGACCCTGGTCAATTCCTTTTCAGGAGCCTATTCCCTCGAGACTTCCTCTCATACAGTTCCATCTACTGAATGGCGCAGTAGCAAATAATAACTACTAATCTTTGTGTCAATCAATCATCTACTGAATGGTTCCTACGGGTGTCCTCCTGATGGTAACCAGCTCGGACTTTGGCAATTCCTAGATTCCGAACATCTGTCCCACAGAAAAAGAGGGCTTCAGCTCAGCCTCCTTGTGACCTCCCCCCCCCCCACCTGTAACATACTACAAACGCCACTGGTAATTTCAAGCTAGCTAGCTAGACAGGATTGTACCGGTACTGTTGCCCCCCTCTAATCCCGCGACCCCCATCTCCATGTTCCGGAGAGTACCGTATCTCACTATTTTTACTATTTCAGGCTTTAGAATATTTCTGTTGTTTTTGTGGCATTTTTTTCGCTGAGATCCACACTGCCAGCCGCCAGCCAGTTGCTCACAGCCGCGAGGTTTATCACCATTCACAGAACACACATCCAATTGACGATGAGCCACCAAGCAAATCCTGTTCTTGACATCAGTGCCATTGGACAGGATGTCTTAGATGTATTCTGTGACGTTGTGGCCAAGGATGGGGCGAAGGAAAATGAGGGCATTCGAATTGACAATGAAAAACTCCAGCCTATTCGTGAAAACCTGATACACGCACAGCTCTTCAACAGCGGAGACAAGGTCGCTACGATTAATCTTGGATCCTACGACGATGAAGACCAGAAGTATTATGTTTACCATGTTGAAGCGGAGGTTCCACATGAGAAAATGCGACATTTTCTCTTACGCCTTAGCGGCGTAGACATACCCGTCGACTTCTTTTCTGACACCCCGAAGATATCCATTTCAGGGGAAACTATACATGCCAAAATGGAGTGCCTCGACATAGCTGTGCTTGAAGGGACACTTCAAAACCAACATGGATCATTGGAAGTAGTGCAAGAGATGATTGATACGAACCAAGCCGCTATGTACTTCAGTTTTTTGGGGATGGTATCAGCGGACACTGGCTTACCGGTGAGGTTGATGCCATTCGGAAGCCATGGTTGTTTTGCAGGCTCCATATTCAAACTGTCATCCATCAAGATTAGCAAGCATGTAGCTGGGAAATCTTCTCTTCCAGCATTGGCAAGGGGTTGAACGACACAAGTAATATCGGCATGGCTAATGCAGAGCATTTGATGGCGATTGCGAAGTCAAATCCCCTTCGAAGTCAAATCCCCGCCATGACGGGATCTGCAAGGCGGCACAGAACCGTTTCGAGCTACTAGCGAAGAATGGATCACTGCAGATGGCCAAATCTCTTTTCCGATCCCTTGAGCTGCACAGTGCCGTTGCTACCGGTATCGGTAGCGCCTTCAAGTTCAATTTAGAACAAGGCACAATTGAATATCAAGTTGTACCAACCAATGGTGGCCGTGGCATGGCTTGGAGACTGGAACAGGCCGATGAAGACAAGGCGTCTAAGATACCACTTTCAAGCCTTTCCGCGATGGGGGCGTCGTTGGCGGGCATCCCGTTTCCTGTGGCTGCTGCCAGTGGTCAAATCATTCCGCAGTTTGGTGGCTGTCTCCTCCGTTGGAGAGGGTCTCCATTTGATTGCTTTGACTTGGAAGCAGTTTTCAGATTCGACGACAGCTGCCTGGAATATAGTCGTGGGGAAAACTTTCACTCGCGGTTTCTTGCAACGCTCATCCCGCCGCAAGACCGAGCAACACGGAATATCACTGTATGAGGCGTCCCCATGCTTCCGTTTCCAGACGACCTGACTGTAACTCCTGTTTTCTTCCAGATACAATTGGACCCAGTCAAGCACCACTTGAAGCTCCTTGGCGTTGATGTGGATTCCCTTCAGAAAGAATTCTTGGCGCAACATGAAGATGAGCCAGCAACCCATCGTCCCGACCAGGCGCAAGACGGGGAAGATGCTGAAGAAGAGGAAGGTTGAGAACCCTTTCTCTGCCTGTCTCGTTGTCTGAAAAATGTGCGAGATCTGGCCTGCGTCTTCTCTGTTGTATTCTCTTGTGGCATAACTATATTCTAGAAAGGACGGTGATGAAGTTTCCAGCCAATACATGGGCCGCCTTCTTGCTTTGACGCGTCGTTGCTGATGTCTAAACGGCAATGGCTTTAGTTCTCAGCCGGTGCTGGCTCTGGTTCCTTGTTGAGTGCAAAGACCATAGCTTCGTACCGTTCCATAACTGTCTTAGGCAACTCAACATCATCTCCAGGGCCGTCCTCGCCTGGTGTTCCAAATGGAATTCCAGTTCTGACTGCCAGGCGAATGCTGCCTCCCAGCTCTTTGGTGCCACTTCCATTCATGAGGGGGAAATCACCAGCAGCAACACACTTTCTGTGCATCAATCCTTGCAGTTCAACCACGACTTTGCCCAATAACGTGGGCGGTGGTAGCTCTTCCTTATTCTTCTTGGACCACAACCAACCTTTTTTCTCTGCCACAGGGACATGGAAGACAGTCAGAGTGGCTTTCTTGTTGCGTTCGATCCTTCTTCGAATGATCTTTCCATAAGCAGTGTTTCCGCGTTCAAGGTCCACGTATTGGGACGAGTCAAAAGGGTAGGAGTTCGGCAGGTTTTGTTTTTGTTCCTCGGTTGTCAATTCCAACTTTTTCAGGGCATCTGCAGGGGGTTCATACCGCAGCGCTATGTGACTCTCGGTGTCGTGTTCGTTTGGTGGAATCTGTAAGTCCACTTCAATCCGTACAGTTGATGGGTGCTGTGGCAGATGTTCTCTCTTTTGCTTCTTCAGTAGCTTTTGCAAATGGGTGTTCTCGTTGACGTTTTCCATGCCGATAATAGTGATCTCCAGCCGGCCATCGGACGGATCTCCACCTCTATCCACCACGTCTGCCACCAGCCCATTAAAGTCATTCTGCTCCTGCTCGTCTCCAGTACGCCGTGCGTGGAAGAATTCGCCCTTCTTCTTGGTTACCTTGACGGCGTCGGAACCTTTTGCCATGATGAGTTTGGACACATTGGCACATCGTGTGGCGTATTCGTTCCATTTTGCCACTTGCTGTGCTTCATTGTCCACAAATCGCTCGTAATATTCAAAGATGCGGATTTGCTTTTGTGCATATTCAATCTCTTTTTGGATTGCACCCACAATCTCCTTTCGCCGCTTCATCTCTTGCGCATCCTGTTCTCGCTTCAAAGCTATTTTGTACAACTTCAACACTTCTGCGGCTTCTTTGATCTTCTTTTGATCTCTCAGCGCAATGGCTTCTTGTTTGAGTTCGTCAGAAGTTTTCTCAGCCGGTTTCGTTGTGGCCGGTGTCGCTTTGGAAGGTTCTTTCTTGGTTGGGTTTTCCTGTGCGTCCAACATGGCTTCCAAGTCATCTATATTGACATTCTTCGGACTTGTTCCCCCTCCCTTTTTCCTTTCCACTTGTTCCAGCATTGCCTTGAGCTTGACCGCATGGGCTGTCAATGTTTTGGATTGCACCAGGGCCAACTTGGCCCCCTCAATATCTCCCGCCTTTTTGTGCGCCACTGCCGCCATCTTTTGTTCTTCTGCCTTTTCTTCAATGGCTTCCACGGATGGAACTTCCATTCCCATTTCAATGGCATCCATAAAGAGCGCGGGATCTTCTAGAAAACCGGCCAACTCCTCGAGAGCCGCTTCCAAAGAACCTTGATTATTGTTGTTGTTGTTCTGGCTGGTTTCAGTGGCATCCAGAGTTGCAGTTGCAGGTTTGTCAAACAATTCTCCCAAGAGATCACTTTCTTCGGAGTTGAGGCCGGCCATCCAGTCGTCATTGTCATCCGCGGATGGTGATCCTGTTTGGACTTGAGACAGAGCCAGACGGACAGCCTCCAACTTTTTGGCCTTTTGCAGTTCTTTCAAGGCTTTGGTTGTGTCTCCTTCCTTCTTGGCAGCCAAGGCAGCCTTTTTACACATCAAGATTGTAGTTTGGTAGCTTTCATCGGAAGGCACTGGCATTCCCTCCTGTTTGAATTCCAAAAGCATATCCCGATCCATCATTTCTTCAATTGTATAGGATACATCCGCCTGTGTATTATTGTCAGGTTGATCTAGCTGAAGCAATTCTTTCAATTCACTGTCGTCTTCAGCTGGCTGGTTAGTAGTGTCATTGGCAGGTGCATCCACTACTGGTGGTTCAATTTGTGGTGTTGGTTCTGGTGTGTTTTCTGGAACGGGAATATCTTGTTGGACAATATTCTTTTGTTCTGGTTCCTTGGGTGGTTGGGTTTTCCGTGCTGGCTCGTTGGCTGGTTCCTGAGGTGTGGTGGTTGTATCGTGTTTTGGCTCTTCTACCGGTTCTTGCGGTGGCACTTGTTCCTGTTGCTGCAATTCTCCCTTTTCAATCTGTTTTGCCTTGATCAGAGCTTGTCTGGCAGCATCCAAGTCACCTCGTTTCTTCATGACCACGGCGAATTGCTTCAGCTTGAGAGGTTCCCAGATATCTTCCACATTGGCATTATCGAATTCTAAATCTCGCGCTTGGGCCAAGAGGGCCATGGCGCCATTCACATCACCTGCTTCTTTCAAAGCAATGGCTTGGCGCTTCAAGTCTATTATCTGTTCTTGTACAGAGCTCATGGTGGTTCATTCAATCAATGATGTTTGTCTTTTCAAAACTATAATGGGTATCTTCGTCCTGGCGATGACAGATTTGGGTGTTGGCACTGTTCTTTTGTTCGTGCTTCAGGAGTCGTGACAATGAACTCGGGATTGGACCGGTACCTGGTACCTGGTGTTTTAAAATACCGCTATCGGGAAGGTCCTGCGAAACATGAAAATCTGGAATTGAATTCATCACTAATTAAATATTTTCATCACCATTCATCACCATTCAATACAGTGGTGATGAATTCATCACCATTCATCACATTTCATCACGGTTTCATCATTTTCATCACCATTCATCACCATTCATTATCTCTATAGTAAAACAGTAGTATTTTTCATCACGATTCATCACCAGTCATCACGAATTAATCATTTTCATCACCATTCATCACCATTCAACAAACTGGTGATGAATTCATCACCATTCATCACCATTAAACACATTAATCAAGCATTCATTATAATTAAACTATTTCATTATTTGCGGGACCTTCCGGGTTTCTGTTTTGTGGACAACCTTTTTGGTGTTGGTGTTCTTTTGTTTGTGCTTCTCGTGACAATGAACTCGGGATTGGACCGGTACCGGAAAGAAAAGGCCAGTGTGCGACCTTAGTATAAAAGCTACGGGTACCAACCACGTCTCGGCTCTGAGACTCGTTAGAAAAGCTACCGTACAGCTGCACCCAAACACCCAAACCCACCAAGGGACAGAGCGAAACCAAATCAATGTGTGCAACCATTAACTGTTATACATTAGTGGAACGATGGCACAGCAACAGCAAGACGCAGAAGAAAACCCACCCAGGCGATGCGTAGTGGTTCTGGGTAGTGCCGCCAATCCTCCCCATCGTGGCCATCTCCATTGCTTAAAGTTGGGCAAGCACAAGGCAGAATCCTTGGGGTATCAGGTGCTGACCACCAGCATTGCCATTGCTCCTCACGGCTATGTCAAGCAGAAAATGACCAAAGACGCTCCCCAGTCTGCCCTGGTCTTGTCGGATGCCTCTCGTTTGAGAATACTGGAACTGATTACGCAAGGAAACAATGCCGTTGCGCAGTTTCATTGTCCTGACCGTGCCTACGGAAGTGCCTTGGAGTTGGGAAAGTCCATTCGTCCAGACGATAGTGTCGCCATTGTGATTGTGAAGGGGGGTGATAGAGGCAAAAACAAATGGAGGAAGGAGCCCAAGGCACAACACGGTGCCATTCTCACGGTCTGTTGCGCACGTGACCAAGAGCAGTGGCAGACACTGCAGAAGTTGTTTGCCAAGGATCAATGCGAAGGACTTGTAAAGGATCAAAACTTTCATTTGGCTCTGGAAGTGGGGCCTCCCACAAGCAGCACCATGATCCGATTCATTCTGTTGCAGGAAGGTTCTTCCGAGGAGGGAAAAGTTGCTCTTTTGGCAGACCATAGGTACAGTGGCGAGGCAGCAAGATACATGTTGTCTCAGGTACCGGTAGATTCGATTGGCTAGCTACGTACTTTTACAGTTGTGGAGATGGATAGGTACAAGGTAGACAGTTTCAGCTACATCTACATGTATCTCTTCTGCACCTGTTCGGATAGCAGTTGAAGCTTGATACGGTGAACATCTAATACGGTTTATAACTGTGGAATCTCTAGTGGCGGTTCGGACGTGTAGTCTGCAGGACATTGTGTATCTTGTAGTTTTCTCTGTGTGTTTGGCTGACGGTTGGTGGCGCTCGAGAAAGTAATATCATAATTTCAGGGCTGTGAAATAACTTTGGTTTGCTGCCCTGATGGTTGATTTGGTGCGCGTATGTTGGAAGAAGGAGGATGAAGTTATCGGTGTGTTGAAAGCGGTTGCATGGGAAGTCGGGTTAGGGAAAGCCGATCCAGCCTCTTCTGATCACGCATCAACCTTGTCACGGCCGGATGTTTGATGGGTAGGTTCATTCGATCGTAAATGTCGACGGCAATGTCAAAGAATCTAGACGCCTCTTCCGTGGAGGCAAGTTTGACCAATACATTGCCCAAGGCGTGGGCCGCAATCGCCACAGAAGGATGATTGGCTCCAAAAATCGCCTTTCGGACATGAAAGACTTCAAAATAAGCATTGCAGGCTTCACTGTATTCTCGCAAATGCAAGTGTACCGAGGCAATCTTATTGAGTGTTTCCACACAGTCTGGATGCCACGGACCCAGCAGTTCATATCGTATTTGAAAGGCTTCTTCCAGCGCCGCCATGGCCTTGTGACAATGATCCACGTCTTCATCTTGCGTGACGCGGGTCCACGCCATGCCAATGGAATCCACGACGCGAGCAAACGCCAATCGATCCTCCCGATATTCCATGCGTCGATTCCAAATGCGACAGGCGGATTGGAATGTGACGACGGCTTGGGCATATTCCCCAGCGTGCATGTAGGCATGTCCCAACTGCAAGAGTGCTTCGGCCGTCTTGACCGAATGCTTGCCGTGAACCTGTACGGCTGTTTGACAAATATCCTTCCACCGGGCACATTCTCGTTCGGCTTTGGCTTGTCGTTGTGTCATTTGTGGAGTTTCTTGATTGGATGGTTCGGTTTGACTGAGGGGTGTGGGAGGTTGTTGCGTAATCAAATCAAACTGAAGGGCTTTGGGAAGAATAGCCAGTGAACCAATGGCCAGAATGCTCTTGCCAATGGCTGACAATGGAGTTGTAAAGGAAAAACCTTCTGCTTTGGCAGTGGAGGATGGTGATGCAGATTCTTCTGGTTTGGGTGGGATTTCAAAACACCCACTTCCTAGACTCTTGCTGATGCCGTTAACTGTTTTGGTACCAGTAGTTGGTTCTGCTGTGGAAGTGGTTGTTTCAGTGATTGGAAAATCGAAGGTTCCTAGACTCTTGAATGTGGTTGTTTTGTTGGTTGTAGATGTTGTCTTCTTGGGAGCCTCAGGTTCAATGGGTCGCCTGCAAGGTTCGTCAAAGGGTGACGTGGATTCGGAGGGTAGAGAGGATTGCAGGTCGTCGTCTTCGTCGTTATATTGTTCTTGTGAATATTCACTGCCAGCAACAAAAGAAATGACTTGGTTGGTGAAGGAGTATTCGGTTTCCGTGTCGCTGTCAACGTCAACGTCAATACATGTGGGGTCAAAGTTGTTTTCACGATTGCTACTTCTCATTGGCCTCTTGGAGGAGCAATATTCATTCTTTTGGACTTTGACTCGTCGTCGGGTTTGCTTTCGTAGATAGGGATCGATAAAATCGTCTTGGCAACTGTCGTTGTCGTCAAAAGGAGAGCGATCTTCTTCTGCTGGTTCTAGGAGTGATTCTTCCCAGAGGGATGTAATGGATGCTTCTGTGGTATCTTGCGATGTAAAGCCCAACGAAGATTCTTTTAGAGCAGTGGAAGGTCCCTCCGTCACCAAAACTCGGGTGGGGCTTTCGCCTTTCCCCGTCATTAACGACGTGATTTTGGTGATGCGACCATGGCCGAATTTCATGTTCCCAGCTAGATAGATAGATTAGAAGCCTAATTCGTGGGATGCTCTACAAATTTTGGTTTCTTCTTCCAAATTTGTGAGGACCTAACAGGAACTAACTCCACGGTTGACATGGATGGGCACGGCAGGTGCGGTCGGATTGAATTCAAACCAATTGCCAATGCGCGGCACTTGGAGGAAAAATTTAGTCCCGAACCTCTTCAATTCCAGTCACACCTGACTGGAGGAATAGAATGAAACCATTCGATTGAGTCGAGTCGAATGAGAATCAATCGATGAAATCTTCAAGCAACGGCTTTTTGCATGGGTGGATGGCAGAGTTCGACACATTCATGCAATCCAAGCCAAACAACCATTACAATCAGCCACCTGGAACTGTTGATAGCACAATCAACGAACTGACAAACATAGCAATGCTCAAGGCACCCGCCCAAAAAGCCTCCTCCTCCAAGTCCCACGAACTTGGCAGTGCCGATGTGATTCAAGAATGGGCCGATGCTACCCTCCAAACCGCGCTCTCCTTGGATCCCAACGCGTACATTCCCGAGCTCTTTTGGGCTCACAAGACACGGCCCGATGGTAGAATCTTTGGACAAGCACGACAAACCACCATTACTCCGGGCGTCCTCCAGCAAAATGCCTTGGGAAGTGCATTGGTCAAACTGACAGGTGGCAGCGGCACCAGCAATACTCATGTGCTAGCAGGTGTCACGGCCGATATCGGACAACCATCCGCCAATCAAGGAGATTTGAAAGTCACATTGACACCCAGCAACAACAATGGTCCATTGGAGTCTTGGTTGCAGCGTCTCTTGCTTCAAGTCATGGATCTGGAACAATTGGGAATTATACCGGGCAGGGCTGCCTTTGGGCTCGATGTGACCATTTGCATCCTCAATCCCAATGGAAGTATTGCCGATGCCTGCCTATTGGCTGCCGTGGGGGCCTTGCAAAATACCGCATTGCCGCCAATTGTGGTGCAAGAGGGACGTGTCTACACACTCGATAATGATGCCCAACAAAAGGAATTGCCCGAATCTTGGACCAGCTTTGCGTCCCAGACACTGAATCTGCCTGTCATTCCCTTGCCACTATCCATGGGCGTCATGAGAATAAAAGCGTCCAAGGAGGACGACAACAACAACAACGAGTCAAAGCAACAATGGTTAGTCGATCCGTCTGGAGAAGAGGAGGAAGTATGTCAGGGTGCCATTACGGTGGTCTTGGATGGTCTGGACATGGACAATATTCTATCTTTGGATTATCAGGGGAAAGTATCCATGGACCATGCTGATTTGGCGTTGGCTCTGCGGATGGCCAAAGGAAGAGCCCAAGAACTTTTGCCATTGTTGCAACTGGGGAGCTGATTCCATTCTTTCCAAGATTTTTGTTTACGCGCCACTCCGGTTCATGTCAGCAATCCACCGTGCTTCTCCTTTGTGGTTAGGTTGGGTTGATTGGTGAATGAAGGATTGAGAGTTTTTAAAAACGCAATTGTTCCTTCTGCAATACGAGATGCAATGGCGGTACCGTACGCACGTATAGAGGCTCTTGTGTCAGCATCCTACCGGCTCTCCGTTTCTTAGAAAGGACTAGCCATTGAGGCGATGCAGGCAATCTACTGCCGTCTTTGGTTGCTAGATTAATACATTTCAGGTTCTCGCTTCTCGAGTCTGTGGAGGGCATGCTTCGTTGGACATTGCAGTCGTCGTGGGCGAGCGAGACAGATGAACCGAGACCGCTTTCATTGAATTCATTTTTTCAAGCCCCAAATACCTGCGGACCACCGTTCATCTGTTTTTAAAACGGCAGACAACACGTAGCTACCGATACAGGTAGACACAAAACATAGTACAGTAAAATTGGTTATAAAATTGGCTCACATCGAGTTGTTAATCGTCACATCACTATGCAGGCTAAGCCGACGCATCGTTCTGGCTCAGCATGATCTGTTTCGAACAGTACGGTAGACTCAAACGTCCTTGAAACATGCATCGCTTACTCTCTCTGGTCGTCATCCGAAGATCCACGGCCGGTGCTTTCCTCGCGAGTTTCCTCGGCATCACCATAGTCTCGGACAAGCTGAGTCCGTCCATCGTCACGCTTCACCAGTCGAGTCGCAGTCATTCTCCTGAAAGCGGAGGTTTTCGTAATGTCCTCTTCCTTAGCATCCTCCACCTTCTCGAGTTGTTTTTGCAACTGGACATCCACCACGGCCTCCTGTTCCGCAACAAGCTTCTTCATTCTCTCAAGGAGCGCAGATTTCTCGGTCGACGGCATCTTGGGCTGGGCTTCTTGTTTGGAAGGGACGAAAGCTTTGCTCGGAGGCAGTAGTGGAAGCAACAAGGAGCGGAGAATGGTGACAAATGTGAGAAAGACATCGAGGGCAACACAAAAATGAGGGAAGCATCCAGCTGATCGCTGAAACATGGTAATTAGGCTGTGATGGTCGGTTGCGGGATACCAGCGATGGAAGGCGAAGTCACGACGGGTGGACCGCTTGACCATCACGATTACGTACCGGTGGCACTGTGGGTGTGTTGCCACCACATGGAGCCACCACAACGGATCCTTCACGTAACTCTCTGGCTAGCGCTAGCTAGCTATTTGAAAGTCTATTCATCAAACCTTTCTCCTGCGGCATGCTCAGTTTCAAGGACGGCAGCACCGTCATTGCCAACTGCCAACAAAGTCACTCCTAAGCGCGAGCCCAAGAATACGAACCTGAACGGTTCCGGTAAAGTAGACCAGCAAAGCTGTCCTTACAACCACAATGAAATCAGGTTCGGACAGGCAGAAGTTGTACCCGTATGCATATGCAATAGGCCTGACTGTAAGGATGCCAAGAGAGGTCTTGGTATGCCTGGAGAGGGATCTTAGTATCCCTGGATACCCTCTACAGGGACATAGTCATAGAACGGAGCCAGTGGCTCTGTATCTACCTAATCTAGATAGCTCATAATTTACCCAAACAGTCTTCTAGATCTAGCTTAGGCCGCTCTCTACCCAAGCGACTAAAGTAGCGACTAAGCCATATTTCGTAGTTTAGTCGATAGTTTAGTCTCTGAGGGTGGTGTCTACCCAAGCGACTAAACGTCCCACGGACTAAAGGCTTTAGTCATTATGTTGCTCACCGACTAACGGGAGGCTGGTTAGTCGGTGAGCGAACATAACGACTAAAGCTTCTTTAAGAACTCTTTAAAAAAAGAACAGCACTTTTAAAAAAGAACAGCACTTTTAAAAAAGAACAGCACCCTCATTGCACAGCCTCACTATCAGAGCATCGCGACAGAGCTGATAGAGTAGAGGTGCGACGAAGAGGAGTACGGTATCGGCGATAGTACGGTATCGGCGATAGTAGAGGAGTATCGGCCGATAGTAAGGTGCAAATGATCGAACGATCGAACGATGGAACGACGAAGAGAGTATCGCCGCACCTCTATCGCCGCACCTCTATCGCACTTTATCAAGCCGACAGTCTTCGGTTGAGAATAGAAAGCCATCCCTCATTGCAGAGTATGGAGTGCGGGATGGCTTTCATTTCTCGGCCTTTGACTGAATGATAGTAGAGTGCAAACGATCAACGATAATGACAGAGGAGAGGTGCATCGCAATGGTGTGTTTTGAGTCTTGTTATCTCAAAAAAAGTAATCATTCTTTAAGTCTTTGTTTGAGTCCTTTAAATCCACCATGCTGATAGAATATTGGTAGCCCACCAAGTGATCACTTTTGTTAAATCTTTTTGAGTCTCTTTAAGTCCAGCATGACTTTAGTCATGTTTGTGTTTGTTTAGTCGCCACGGTAGACACCACGTTTTGACTAAAAACTCGACTAAATTGTTTAGTCCGAGATCATCTGCTGGTAGACACCACCATTACTAAAGGATAATGACTAAATCTTGAACTAAACAACCACCTAAAGGATTCCTTTAGTCGCTACTTTAGTCGCTCCGGTAGAGACCGGCCTTAAGGCATAGTGATATCACTCCTTTGACAAGGATTTTGCGATCCTTTGACTGAGGGGTATTTTGCGACAACAATAGAAGCTTCCATCCTTCTCCGACAACAACAACAAGAACTTGCTACCGACCTGTCCTGCTCTCGACGGTCCTGCTCTCAACAGCCAGCCGTGCTTTCAGGACGGAATTCACCAAGAACACTGATCGACCGATCAATCCCCGTGAACTTGAGCAAAATTGACGCCGCGGAGCAAGTGCAGAAAAGTTGACACCAACAAGAGAAATACTGTAACAAGAGAAATAATTCTGTGCACCTCTTCTGCAGTATTTCTACTTGGTGTTTGTTATCTCATTACTGACTCAACACCATGCCTTCCGTTCACTCCAAGTTTATGGATGAGGAAGCCGAACAGCGCAAGAAGGTTGCCAAGATGTGGGCTCCTGCTATCTCTTTCTTCTCTGATAAAAGGAGGAAGGGCAAGTCATCTCAGGGTGACGAGGATGAGGACTCCACCAACGTGCGCACCTTCAGCGTCCCATTGGACCCAGACACACCCGAAGATGATGATAAAAAGAAGCAGTACTACACGGTCAAGCTTCCAGTCTTCGAAATGGGTGACACACCAGAAGAATGGTGTGAATGGAGGTTCAACATTGATGATCTAATCAAAACATTGGGATACACCAAGACGGCTCAGATCGTCCGTGTCCAGCGCAGCCTTCTCAAAGGCAAAAGCGCCGAGCTCTACCAGAGCTTCTACAACAAGCGGTTCGCCCGCAAGGTTGAGAAGGAAGATCGGCAGAGGATGGCTTTGAACAAAGTCTTGAACGACATGGCCTTGAAAATCTTTGCTGATGGAGCCTGGGCAGCTCGTTCCCAGAAGCGCTACATGCGCAACAATCTATTCATGGGCAACATGGATCCGGAGAAATTCGCGGACCGCCTTGAAAAGCTAAACGATTATTTGAAATATTTCCCCATTGACAAGGTGGAAATGGAACATCCCCCAAACAAGAAACTTGATTGGGATGAACTGGTTGACATCATGGACTATTCCACGCCTAGGCGCTGGCACCCCTTGATGCTCAGCCAGGGCAAGCAGCCACACCTGTTCACGAGCTTCAATGAGGCTGTGACGTACTACCAGCGACTTTACAAAGCCGACCTACTTTCCCGCAAGCTCTCCGAAGCCAATGGTTTCAATGGAGGCAACAACGGAGGTGGAGGTGGTGGTCCTGGTGGCGGTGGTGGCAGAAAGCGCCACCGTGGACATAACAAGGAAGCGAACAATAGCACCAAGGAGCGCACTCCCTGCAACACCTGTGGGAAAATGCACCGTGGAAAGTGCTGGCACAGCAAAGATTCTGGAAGCGGAGACCGCCCCAACAAACGTGCCAAGTTCCATTCCAACAAAAATAAGAGTAAGCCTCAAAGCTCCCATGTCATGATTGAGACCAAAGATCTCAAGAAGCTTGTTGCTAACCAAGCCAAGCGCGCTCGCCAGGATGAAGAAGAATCTGTAAGCAGCTTCGATAACATCCTAGCTAGCCTTACCATTGCCGGTGACAACAAGGACAAAACCCAAGGTAAGCACTGCCTGCAAATTGACTGCGAGTCCAGCACCTGTACTGACTGTACTGACATTGATGACGATCTACCTCCATTGATGCCCAGGTTAAGCACAGCATACAGTGATGATGAAGACAATGACAGCAACAGTAGCAGTAGCAATAATACCTTTAGTAGTAACGAACAACCAGAACAATTGTCCCCCTTCTATGAGGATATCCGTAGACCAAAGAAAAAGGTCAAAACTGGGCACTATACAGCCAAAGTCTTAGTCCAGATAATGAATCGGAATGAGGAGATTGTCCCAGCTAGAGCATTGCTCGACACTGGCACTTCCTCAACACTCATCCTAAAGGAGTTTGTTCGCAAAGGCAGAGCAGGCTACAAAGGAAAGAAGGTTCAATGGAACACTCTTGGTGGACAATTCGAAACCAAACAAAGAGCTTTAGTGGACTTCAAGTTCCCAGAGCTAGATGCCAATAAAACTGTCACATGGGTAGCCAATGTAGATGATGTACATCCCTCCAGCAACATGGCATATGACATCATCATTGGTATGGACCTTATGACTGAACTTGGTATCTATGTAGACACCGAAGAAAAGGTGATTGTATGGAAGGACAGCACTGTTCCCCTCAAGCAACGTGGGCAACTCAGTGAAAGTCACTTCATGGAAGCGCTCTACCATATGAATGTAGAGGCACCTATCCTCCAGGAAGCGGAGTCACGCCAAAAGCGGATTCTAGATGCAAATTATTCCAGTGTAGACATTGATGAGTATATCAATAGTCAGGCTAAGCTAAACCTGGATGAAAAAGAGAAACTAAAGGCAGTACTCAAGAGCCATCCCACACTCTTTGGTGGTGGCCTTGGACAATTGAATATCAAGCCTGTTCATCTAGAAATTAAAGAAGGTGCCAAGCCATTCCATGCCAGAGCCTTTCCCATACCAAAAGCCTATGAGCAAACAACTAAGAAAGAGATTGACCGATTCTGCGAGATTGGTGTCATGGAAAGAAATCATGATAGTGAATGGGCAGCTGCCAGCTTCATCCAACCTAAGAAAACAGGGATGTAAGAGTGCTGACAGACTTCGAAAATTAAACGAAGTGCTCAAACGCAAGCCTTACCCATTACCTAAAATCTCTGACCTGCTATACAAACTGCAGGGTTTCAAATATGCAACGGCTATAGACCTAAGCATGGGTTACTACCATATCCCACTTGATGAGGAATCCCAGGCACTATGCACAACCATCTTGCCTTGGGGCAAGTATAGGTACAGGAAGCTACCTATGGGTGTAGCATCTGCCCCAGACATATTCCAAAGTATTATGGATGAACTCCTAGGTGACCTGGAGTTTGCCAGAGTATACATTGATGATATCCTCATCATTTCAGATGGAACCTTCAAGGACCATCTTACTAAACTCGAAATAGTCCTTAGTAGGCTTGAAAGCAAAGGCTTCAGAGCCAATGTCCGCAAATGCTTCTTTGCAGAGGACGAGCTAGAGTACTTGGGCTACCAACTCACTCGGAATGCCATCAAACCACAACCAAAGAAAGTGGAAGCGATACTTAGGCTGCAGGCACCTAAGAATGTCAAGCAATTAAGACATTTCCTTGGCATGGTTAACTATTACCGAGACATGTGGCGACGTCGAAGCCACTTGTTAGCCCCAATGACAGAACTACTTTCCAAGAAGAGAAAGTGGGACTGGAACAAACAATGTCAGGAGTCCTTTGAAGAATTGAAAAGGATCATGAGTGAAGGCACTATGTTAGCCTTCCCTGACTTTAGTAAGACCTTTCATATATACACAGATGCCAGTGACTATCAACTAGGCGGAGTGATTATGCAAGAAGGCAAACCATTGGCTTTCTACAGCCGCAAGCTCAATAGTGCTCAAAAGCGCTACACAACAGGAGAACAGGAACTACTGTCCATTGTTGAGACTCTCAAGGAGTTCAGAACAATCCTCCTGGGACAAAAGCTTGTAATACATACAGACCACAAAAATATTATCTATGGCAACTTAACCAATGATCGGATTATCCGATGGAGACTGTTGCTAGAAGAGTTTGGCCCTGAATACATTCATGTGGCCGGCAAAGACAATGTGGTTGCCGATGCCCTCTCCAGAATGGATCTCGAGGACAATGAAACAGACACCCGTGACAGCCAAGAAGTCACGTGGGCTAGGCACAAGAAAACCAATGATGAGCAGTCCAGTCAAGCACACATCTCAGCCTATTGTATGGCCACCTTAGTGAGAGATGAGACAGACCTCGATAAGGAGGAACTGTGCGAGATGTGCTTCAATGGAGAGACCACAAGCAAGCCAACAGAGCGGCTTGAGGACTCAGAACTTGAAGGGTTCCCAATGAACCCCAAAATCCTAGCCAAGGCGCAACGCCTGGACAAGGAACTCCGCAAGAAAGTTGAGAAGAGCAAACAAGAGTACTCTAAGAAAGACATAGAGGGACATACACTCATTTGCTATAATGAAAAGATACTGGTACCGAAGGTACTACAGAATCGAATAGTTGCATGGGTGCACCATTACTTAGTGCATCCAGGTGAGACACGAATGGAAAAGACAATAGGTCAAATATTGACATGGCCCAAGATGCGAGATGATATCCGCCGCTTTGTCAAGTCTTGCCGAAAGTGCCAACTCTGCAAGTCAGCAGCTAAGAAGTATGGCCACCTCCCAGCCAAGGAGGCAGAACCATCTGTACCCTGGAATAGAGTCAATGTAGACCTAGTAGGTCCATACTCGGTCAAGGTCAAAGGCAAACGCAATAAGATTGAGCTGCGAGCCATGACAATGATTGATCCAGCCACAGGATGGTTTGAGATTAAGCAGGTTGAGAGGCCAAGTGCTGACTGCTGCCAGAAAGCATTAGATGATGCTTGGATCAATATGTATCCAAGGCCCCACTACATTGGGTTCGACAATGGCAAAGAGTTCAAGTCAGTCTTTGAAGAACTCGTCGAGAACTATGGCCTGACTAAGAAGCCTAGTTCCCCGTACAACCCCCAAGCCAATGGCATTGTGGAACGGGTACACCAAGTCCTAGGGAATATGCTAAGGACTTTCGAATTGGAAGAAGAGGAACTAGACGGCCATGATCCGTGGTCCTCCTTCCTATCTGCTGCTGCCTATGCCATCAGGAGTACCTACCATACTACCTTAGAGGCAACGCCGGCCGAACTGATCTTCGGACGCAATATGCTCCTACCAGTCCAGTTCAAGGCTGACTGGGAAGCCATAAGGGCACGCAGACAAGCAATGATAAATAAGAACAATGAACGGGAAAACAGCAAGCGCATTGCGCACACCTACTCCATAGGAGACATGGTGTCAAAGGCTAGACCCGGGATCCTTCGCAAGCTTAGACGCAAACGCGATGGACCATTCACAGTCACGCACGTGTATACCAACGGCACTATCCGCATAAGGCAAGGTGCAATCTCTGAACGGATCAACATCCGTAGAGTGCAACCATTCTCTGAACCAGAGACCCCTGAAGCTTAAGTGCAGTTGGGGAAGCGGATGCAATAGGCCTGACTGTAAGGATGCCAAGAGAGGTCTTGGTATGCCTGGAGAGGGATCTTAGTATCCCTGGATACCCTCTACAGGGACATAGTCATAGAACGGAGCCAGTGGCTCTGTATCTACCTAATCTAGATAGCTCATAATTTACCCAAACAGTCTTCTAGATCTAGCTTAAGGCAGCATACCTCGTACAGCTCCTAGTACATGCACAATTCATGACTTGCTGTTCTTCTGCTCTTCCATTCAATCCAATCCCAAGGAGTGCATGGCTACCGGTATGGCTAGCTAGTAAGATCGAAATGCTCCAATGGACATCTTATAAAGTTTCTACAGGACTGTGTTACTTTCTCTTTGGCAAGGGGATTGAATCATCATTGGCTTCATTCACAACTTTTGGGAATATGCTACGATCTAGCTCATCCCATGCTTTTGTTGCAGCATCCAATTTCTCCTTGCCTGCAGATACAAAATTCCAAAACATGTGGCGTTTCTCCGGCAGGGGAGTGCCGCCTAGAATGGCAACACGAGTGTCACCTTCCAATGCTTGAATTTTTGCTTTGATCTCTGTTGCTCCAGCTTTGGCAGTGACCATACTTCCTGGTTCCACTATTTGACCATCCAAGGACCCCCACCCTGAGAGGAATTTCATCTTTCCTGTAGACACATAGACTCCGACTTCGATGGATGGATAGTTGTAGTCGTGCTGTCCTCCCGGGCCCTCCAGGATAAAGCTGTCATTTGCGTTTTCAAAGTGGGTATCCACATAGAACACTCTTCCCAACTTTGGGTCAATGGGAATGGACGACTGGGTCAGACCATTGGAATTCCCAACCACTAAAGTAGCATGTGAGTCAATGGAAACAGCCTTTCCGTGGTGAAAAGATGGCTCACAATCTTCTCCATCCTTGGACAAGGCCATCCACAATTGGAGACCGTGGGACCCGGTTGGAGCCGGTACATTCCGGGCATCTAAATGTGGCTGCAAATCTTCCAAAAGACCTCGTTCCGAATGGGTCACGCCTTTTCCTGATATCATTCCGTTGACTTCACCTGGAAGGACAATTTGTTCCGCTCCTGTCGAATCACGATGCAATACGGCCCCTTCAAAAAGGTAGCTAATTGTCATGAGGCCAATGTGCGGATGGGGACCCACATTCATGGCATGCTCTGAGATTAGGACTGGTCCAAAATGATCTAGAAAGACAAAAGGACCTAAGGATCTTTGCTTGCGAAATGGCAATATTCTTCGTACCGAGAAATCGGGTCCAAGAGGTACTATCTTTCCTTCAAACGATTCCTGAGGGATAATTCCTTGATCCCCCATAGCGACAGACTCATTTCCGCCTTCTTTCCCAGAGCTGTCTTCTTCAACCGCAGAGTCAACGTTATGATTGTGGCCAGTCAAGATCGAGAGTTCCCGACGAAAATGCTGCTGCAAATGTATGGAGTATGGAGCCACAGTGGCGCTTCTGCTGGTGCGAAAGGTTGCTGAAAGATGCTGGCTTGCTGGACTCCGGAGCACAGCTGTGCTCGTAGCAAGATACCGATAGAGCATTCGAGGGGATAACATCATCTTGTACCGCCGTTGGCAATCTAAAGATCTGTTGTCCCCTTGGTTGTGGCGCTGTGCAGGGATCTTTCGGTTGAAGATTCGTTCTAAACCCGGTAGAGCTGTCAATCCGGTACGAAGTTTAGCTGTCCTGAACGGAAACATGGCCACAATTGTCAACCATTGCAGAACCGTCTATCCAACCACCCGCTCTTTGCCTGCCTACGGTATCTATCTAGCTAGCTAGTAGATTTCAGGTGGAAGACTCAATATGAAAGTTTCAAGTTATGCGAATGCTTACTAAGAAGCCTACATGATCTGGTACTGTGGACCGCCACCTCCTTCGGGAACAGTCCAATGAATGTACTCCTTTGGCATCTTGATGGAACAGCACTTACAGTGAACACAGTTCTACGAGAATGGCAGCATCATCAATCAAGGCATCAAAAGTTAGACAAACTCAATCAAATCATAAACGAGGCGACTTTTGTCGAAAGAAGTGAACAGCAAAGCTTACCTGGGCATTGATAACCAATTTCTTGTCAGGGCCACTTTCCTCATCGTTGTCTACATATTCATAAACGCCAGCGGGACAAAATCGTTGCTCAGGTCCTGCGTATACCTGCAACGAAACGTTCTTTGGGACATCCCCTAATTCGGGCTTGATCCGAAGATGGCTGGGTTGATCATCTTCGTGGTACGTTCCACTGCGTTGTAGGTTTGTCAAAAGGTCAAACGTCAGTTTGCCATCGGGAGGAGGGTAGTCAATTGGTTTGAAGTCCGTGGACTGCTTGGTTTTTTCCGAATCTCTTTCCGTGTGGCTCAATGTCCATGGCTCGCGGCCCTTGGTAACATGCGTGGCAATTCCAGTGTACACCAACCCACCCCCAACGCCCCATCGGGCAAAAGATTCGTGACTGTTGCGTACTTCGTATAGCTCATCATTGATCCAGGAGTCTTTCACCTTGGATTCGTATGCGGTCAACTCTTGTGGTTTGTAATCCTCCGGGTACTCAAATGAATCTGCGACAGGGTCCACGCCCTCTTCCTCCGTCAATGCTTCGAAGGTTGCATCGGCGGCCAACATTCCCGATTTGAGTGCGGTGTGAGAACCCTTGATTTTGACAGCATTCAAAAATCCAGCCGAGCATCCCAGCAAGGCTCCACCGGGAAATGTCAATTTTGGAATGGAGTGGTACCCTCCTTCATTCAAGACACGAGCTCCATAAGAAACACACGTGCCACCTTCAAAGTGTTTTTTAATATCGGGATGAGTCTTCCATCGTTGAAATTCTTGGTACGGATTCAAGTAAGGATTTTGGTAGTCCAGTCCTACTACCAAACCAGCCAACACGAGATTGGGTTCTTGATGGTACAGAAAGGTTCCACCAAAGACCTTGTCGGTAACCGAACTCTGCAATGGATATCCCAAGGTATGCTGGACCAATCCTGGTTGAAAGTTTTCTTCGGGAATTTCCCAAACTTCCTTAATTCCCAATCCGTACGTTTGTGGATGTCCATCTTCCCTCAAATCAAAATGTTCAATGAGAAATTCCGAACAGGATCCTCTGGCTCCTTCGGCAAAGAGTGTTTGTCGTGCATGCAATTCCGAGCCACGTTCAAATGTAGCCTTGGGCTGTCCATCTTTTCCAATGCCCACATCCCGGGTGGCAATTCCCTTGACGGCTCCAGTAGCTTCGTCCAAGACCACTTCGGAAGCGGCAAATCCTGGATATACTTCGACTTCTAATTCTTCTGCCTTTTTGCCCAACCATCGACAGAGTTGACTGAGTGAAATAATATAGTTTCCGTCATTGTGGAGTTGTGAAGGCAATAGAAAATGGGGAATACCCATGGATTTGTCTTCTGTGAGAACTAGAAATTGATCGTGTTGGACGGGAGTGGCTGAGGAACCTTGTTCATTTTCAAAGACTTTGGTCCAATGATTGTCCGAATTCTTGTCTGCCATGTCGGGAAATAGTTCATGGAGTGCTTTTGGATCAAACACATTGCCAGATAGAATATGGGCTCCAATTTCACTATTGTCGATTAATTAATAACACAGCCAACAACCATTAATTTTGAACCCAAATTGGAATGAAAAATAGGAAATACAGACGGATGAGTGAGCCTTGTAGTCACAAAACCCACAGACAACAGAATTTAATTTTCTGAGTTGCCTACCTTCCCTTGTCAATGACACAGACACTTAATTCCTTTCCTGTTTCTTGGCACAACTGTTTGATTCGAATGGCAGCTGCTAGTCCAGCAGGTCCACCACCGACAATGAGCACATCAAACGCCATGGCTTCTCGTGGTTCGGAAAGAGGATCTTCTTCAGAGGAAAAGCAGCGTTTGGTGACACTGGTGCTTATTTGTTGTTTGGTGGGTGCATTTTGGTGTCGATGCATGGAAGAAAACAATCCAACCGTCGAGGATAGACTGCGAAGAGCCACATTACTATTATTGGATCCAATCACCTGTCTTCTACCCAATGCCTTGAGCGATCGAAGGGCGGAAACTCGTGTAGCAGACCACGACATGGTGGATAGGGAGAGATGGGTGCAGAGGTCTGTCTAATGACTGGGGAAATAAAGTGATGGCTTCCCACTGGTTGTTTTATTGATGGGAAGAATAATGGCCCCGTTGAGTGCATTCTCGATTCTCAAGCGGGTGGGTGATTGACAAGATGCCAATGATGCTTTGGATCTTTCTCGTTTCGCTTCCGGCTGGTGATGGTTCTTCTTTGGAATTCTGACGAGGACGGGATTGATGTGTTCGCGGATCCAACGATACTATTGTAACCCTAATGAGGTATTTTGAGCAAAAGGTATCCGGCATGGCGGATGACATCGACAACAAGAGCGGCTGACCCGAAGCCTTGCCACAACAAACTGGTCGACAAACCATTGAATACCGGTAGCATCATCTCCTTCGTCGCAGTGCTGGTTGGGTGACAAGTGTCATCCATCAATAACTCATCCCACCAGATACATCATTCGTTCGATTTGATTGATTGATGCACCCAAGGCGTGTTTTCCCACGGTTCCGAATACCTACAACCTACAAGAGCTGTTACCCAAAGATACCACCAACCACACGACTACGTATACCACAGTAGTAGCATTCCTCCTAGTTGAATGATAGCAAGAGCAGACTATTACAGTACTAAACCAACGAAACCATCATGAGCGACTTGACCGATTCCTTTCGCGAAAAGACCAACTACATGAAAACATGGAAGCCAGCTAGTGCTCCTTCGGTGAGTTGACATGACATGCCGTAAATCGACTTACTTGTCGCGACTTCATACTAGTACTCACGATTGTGTTATCATCATCGTCTTTCATACACAGAACAGAGATCGCCTAGAACTCTACGCCTTGCACAAGCAGAGTGTGGTGGGCGACGCTCCCGCTTCGATTCCCAATTCCGCCACGCAACCCGAAAAAGCCAAGCACCAGGCATGGCGGGCCAAAAAGGGAGTCTCCCAGCAAGAAGCCATGCGATTGTACATTCAAGAATGCGATCGACAAGTCAGGACCTACGGCACGACATCGGCACAAACGCCACAAAACACTCCCACCATTACCAATGGCGGTGGCGACAATAACAACAACGCGAGTCCAAACAACGCCGCCGCACCACGCGGCATTGCCGCCATTCCCCTACTCTGTGCGGCAGCCTCCGAGTCACGACCTGCCTATCTACGGCGATTGGCCAATACACTGATAGAAAATGCTTGGTGGAGTCGACAGGAACCACTCTGTGCCACACCGGGAACGCTCTGGAGTGTTCCTGAAGCAGCCGTCATTTGCATTGCCAGCCTGGTCGAGCGTCTCTCCCTCACACTCTTTCGCGAGGATACACCCATTCCACAAAAGGTCGTCCAATCCTTTCTATGGCCCATGCACAATGCCTTGTTGAGTGCCTGGATGGGATTGATACTCGTATACACCATTCTTGGAGCCGGAGTCGAATTCCTGCAAACTGTCTTTTGGGGATCCCGACGTACCGGATTGTCCATGACATTCATCTGGGCAGAAAAAATTCAGCTATCGGCCGATTCCATTCTCACCATGTGCGAACCGCATCAACCACTCTCGGCGCGATTGGTGGGCCTGGCACTCTTGCCCTTTACCGCCATTGTTGCACTCATTGGAGCGGTACAACAGGCCACGGGAGGTAATATGATGGTCTCGGCGGCATTCTACGTGTTGACCATGTTTGTCGTCACCTGGTGGTACTGGTTCTTGGTATTGCCCTGGTTTGCATCCATCTTTTTGGGTGCCGCACTGCTCAGTGGAAATTGTTTTGCCTTGATTGAAATGGCGGGTGTGTAGAAGGAATGAATGTGGAAGCAGGAGAGAATGCCAACTAATGAGCACCAAACCACAGGATGTTGGTTGGTCACCAATGGTTGTTGCAACAAGAAGAAGAAAATGTAATCAAAAAGAAAGAAGAACGACAACAACAACTTGGTTGACGAAACATCCCCACAACAACAACAAACGACGCTACGAAAGGTCACGGAACAAGGCAAGCACGACAATCAATCCATACAATTTTAGTGTACATACCTGGTAGAAAAAGAAAACCATAGTTAGCATTGCCCTTTGATCTCCTTGGGTGTTGGTCCCGAAGCAGTGTCGAGCATTCAGTGAAGTTAGTGGAACTGTGCAAGGCCTGGTTTTCCTATCTGGCTGGCTAGTTCACAATATGAATGAGCTCCCCAGCGGTGGCTACCGGTATCCTACTACGGTATACGTATCTTTTTCTGCAAGTCCATGGGTACTAGTAGACCGCTGAAGCTGCTGCTGTTGCGTTCTAAGCCGTTTCGTAACCCAACCACCATCCTACCGGTACCACGGTACCACAGTACGATGCCAAGGAACTTCGGTAGCTTCGGTCTACATTATGAAAATAGAATTGTCACAGTTGAGGGCAAGCGACCAACCTATTGGTACATGTACATGTAGCTTCTGGAAACACACCCGGCTGGTATCTAGAAAGCCAACGGATGCAAGCAGAAGATAGATGCTGACAAAAACAGTTACATCTATAGCGTTGTGTTCGTTGCTCTATGCCATATAACAAAATTGTTGGTTCTTCCTTTTATTGCCAGCGCAAAAGTTTTGATTTGTCCTCTTACTCTTTTAATTCCTCCAGCCACGTGAACCCGTTGTACTTGGAAATGCTCCAGCCACCATTGTCGTGACGAATCCAACCTCCTCGTGGAGGTCCCGTGGAAGTCACGATATCTCCTTCTTTGAGCTGATGCACAACATTGTACGGATTGAAGGGTTCACCAGGCTCCTTGTGAACATTAAGAAACCCTTTTTGAGTGCGACAAACGTATCTCTTCCCAATGCCAATGTCCAGTTCATCTTTTCTCTTTCTCAGAGACTCCAGGAGCCCACCCGCATCGCCATCCGATACCGCCGTGCATTCTTCGCCTAGGATCGAGAGATCTTCGATAAGAAAAAGGCGACTCTCAAAAGCTTTGGAGCTTTGGGCAATTGGTCCTGCAGACAGGAATGCTGAACACCCTTGCAAGGAGAGGACCATGCAAACGAAAACAGCAAGGAAGGGAACCTTTATATCAGTCATGGTTTCTATTTTTCAATCTATCCTCTAATATCAAGTACAGCCGGGACAAATGAGCTCTATTATGGAGAAAAGAAGTGTTCTCGTATCATGAGCGTGGTTTTGTGTTTGAGAGAAAACCACTGTTGGACTTCTTCGGCACATGCTACATGACAGCACAAAGCGACATGGCAGAACAAAATGAAAGAAGAAGCTTCGATCCATTTGGTTTTGCAACGTCATCAACCGTTCGAATCTTTTCAGAAGGTGAGAGGCTGAAAACCACCATGCGCGTAACGAGGATTTACTCTTGTACGGGGACGCGAAGACGCAAACTCTCATCTGACACAGAGAGAATACACTTGGTCCATTCTGGCGTATATCATGTACATTCTGGTCTACGGTGCGCTCCGCTACGGGGAAAGATCATTGATCAAGGGGAAATTCATAAGAGCGCCGATAACACAACACAATCTAACTAACTATGTGGCGGGAGTGCCATCTGATCTCTATTCAAATCGCATTTGTGGTCTGCCAATTTCCTTGAGCCTCCTTTTGTTGGAGTTTCGTTTCTTTGAACTGCCAGGACGACCACTAGAAGACCACCAAAAGGTGTTGCATGCCAACTCAATCTCGCGAATCGTTGTATTCGATAGTTTTGCCTTCATTCGTTCAATCCATATTCTATCTATTCCTGTATTTGCTGATCGACCACGGCGCAACCAGTGACATAATCCAATTTTGGAAACTTTTCCTTGTCTGCCGGGGTAATTCCTCTGGACCACAGATCCCCTTGTGGGGGTCCATTATCCCCATACCCCGTGTAGACTTTGGAAAAAGTGTCAAGGGAATGTTGTCCCACCAATTCTCCCCAGGGCACTTCCCAAGGAGATCCACCGGCCAATGTTGGAATATTATCCAACGACACAATGAGTTGCATATCGCGTGTGTGTTTACCACCCCCGGCATATGCCATATATCCGGTTGCAAATCGTTTGACGCCCTCTTCATTTTGTCGATATTTGGGTCCTTCTGGCAACCAATTGGCATCGTCCGGAATGGTTTCTTTGAATCGTTTGGACAATTGTGGCTCACTGTTGAGTCCAAATTGACAGAGGAATCCCTGGACACAGCGCATGAGTGGGACTCCAAATTTGGAATTGAAATATCCCGTGGTGACCATTTCCAGGAATCGTTTGGCTCCATTGGGTGCCCATTGTTCATGAACGAGTGTATTGAATGGCCCTTGCGTGGTTTGGCAACACACGAGATGAATCATTCCTCCTCTGGGTGGTGTGATCATGTGTCTCTCTCCTTTGGCAGGATTTCGTTCGTCTTCGGAGAGATCGTGAATGCTCATGTAGGGACACTCGTCATGTTGTTGTTGTTTTTGTGATATTTCTGGATCTTTGTTAGTGTCTTGAGGATTATTGGTGTCTGATAACTGCACCGTCTTGGCAGTGGCCAGTGGTTTGGAAGTCTGTCGCAACAGTGAGGATGAAGAAGTTCCTTTGGAAAGGACGGCAATGACGACAAGAGCCACAACTGCCAAAGTGGCAAAGACTATTGTCTTGGAGCTCTTTTTACTGCGTTGTTTGGGCGTTACCGTCACCATCGTGATGCTCTTCTATTAGTAATTGTTGCAGTGTTTCTTTTTATGCTGGGTTTTGTTTCAAGATCATCGGCGTGGGAGAGGGAAAGGGGAAGGTCATTGGATGCCCAAGAAGAACAGCGAAAGAAGACGGATGCCAAGATCGAGAAGAGGAAAAGATCCAACGGCCCAGTTAGTCACGTAGTGTCCGTGAATGAGCCATCGTTCGTCTTTTTGGCGCCAAGCCGACGAAGACACGTTCATCAGACAACTCTCTTCTCTTGATGTCAAACAGCATTTTATTTTCTGTGCTGCTGTGCTGTTGAACCAAAAGACATCTCACCATGACGTCCTCGACGCCACCCTCCATTGACTTGCTGACATGTTCCGCTTCTGATTTGTCGAATTGGCTTTTGGAGCATCGCTTTGAGGTTTGTTGAGTTGTTGTTACGCAATTTTGACTGTTGTCATTGCTTTCCTTCTTTCTCAACCAATGCTATTGTATTTGTTTGTTTCTGCTCTCCTTGTTGTGTATCGATGGTATAGAACGACGGAATGGCCACAACGACGTTTCTCTTGCAAGGCACTAGCACACTTCCCAATGCAGACGAAATTGCTCAGCAAATCCAAGAATCTGCCGCTGGGCAACAAGACGATGACGATGATGATGATGAAAAGCCCAAAAAGGAAGCCGTGGCGTTGGTCAGTAGTACTAGTGAAGAATCGACCACCAAACCAAACAATAGCAGTATTGGGGAAGCACTCCATGACTCGAATAGTCCTCTGGAAGTGTCCTTGACTAATCCACGCGGAAGATTTCACTGGACATTTCATGCCCAAGGCATCCATGCCGCCACCATCAAGAATCCACAATCCTTGATCGTTCCTGCCGGAAGTGTTCGCAATGTCATTGTCTTTCCAAAACCAACCGATTGTACTCAAATTTCAACATCTTCCTCCAAAAAAGCGGCCAGCAATGCCAAGAGTCCCATGGTACTCTTGTGTTTTCATGACGCCTCACCAGTCACCTTCAAAAACAAACCAATCTCGCAAATCTGCTTTCCCATACCCACAACAACAACCACCACTGTACTACAAGAAATACTCCAACAAGCCCTTCCAAAAGATGACGACAATGACAACAACAACACCACGGAAGCCTGGATCAAACTGATTTGTCATTCGCTACAACTGGACGCTTCCAAGGCTGTCTATCGCATCCAAAACCCAGCAGCGGTGTCAACAACAACAGCAGCCTCCACAGCAACCCACAACAAACCAGTATGGACCTTCAAATCCCATCAAGATAGAAATCTATCCTCCACCGCCAGTGGCATGCCCTTTGTCAAGTGCTACCACGGAGTGCAAGATGGAGTCCTCTTTCCCATGAAGCAAGGGCTGCTCTTTTTCAAGTAAGTGTCGTGACAATACAAACAGACATACATTGTCAAACTGAAGTTGTTGAAAACTCACTCATTCATGCCTTTTTGTATTCTGTTGTATTGTGCAGACCCCCACTGTTCGTTCCTCGATCCAAATTGCATTCGATTGCCTGCGGGCGAGGCACTGGGGCATCTTCGCGATATGTCGATATGAAAATTGTGACAGCCGAGGACAACAATAATGGCAATGATGATGAAGAAGATGACGAAGAACCACGAGAAACCACGCTGGAATTCACCAACATTGCTCGCGAAGAATTGACAGTCTTGAACGACTACATACACAAAGTGTTAATTCCAGCCATGAAGCAAGACTCTGAACAGCAACAACAACCAGCGTCCACCGACGAGGAATCTGCTGAAGATGCCGTGGCAGTGGTCGATGCCGACGACAGTGATAACGAAGGGACTCGTCGTGGTCGTAGCAAACGCAAGGCTGCGCGGGAAGCACGACAACAAACCAAACAACATTTCCTCCAAAAGAAGAAAGGAAACGACCAGGATGACAATGACGACGAGGAGGATGATGAAGATGAGGATTCCGACGAAGATTTGCCCTATTTTTCGGGCGGGGAAGAAGAAGAAGAGGATGAAGATGTCATGGAAATTGCAGATGCAGAGGACGACGAGGAAGAGGACGACGAAGAAGAGGAGGAAACTACAAGCAACAAAAACAACAAACCAGGGGCCAACGGGGAATCTGGGGATGCCGATGAAGAAGCTGATGATGACGACGACGATGATGTAGTCGAGGTGGTAGCTGAAGTGGACGCCACCGAGAGTGATGATGGCGACGAAACGGAGGAAGACCAGGAAGACGAGAATCCACCTAGCAAGAAACGCCGCTCGAAATAGTGTGACACTATACAACTAATGACGACAACATACCGTAGCTACGAAACTGCCCTCTTTTCTTCCGTAGCTGTGATCTTCATTTTATTGATAAAATATACGGTAGCCAATAAAATAACAAGTCAGGGAATGATTGAATCAATCAATCTCTCATGAGGATGTCAAGATGAGAATGGCCGCGGGTGCTACAAGGACTAGAACGGCGGCAATATATGCGACGGGGAATAGATCTCTTGCGAATTGTTGGACGGCCAGCACACCCACGTAGAGGAATCCCACCAGAAAGGGAGCCACTTTGAGGTATCCTCTCAATTCAGTCATGTGAAGTGGATCGAGTTGAAATTTTAGATAAGCGTATGCGTCTTGGTTCTTTTCGCTCCATTGATTCTTGTCAATTCCAGCTTGACGAGACTGCATGAGTGATTCGACGAGGCGTCCCTTTTCTCCTTCGGTCAAGAGTGTCAATCCAGGATTGTAAATGCTCGTGTCTTCATCAGCAATATATCCTCGATCGAGAGTGACTCCCTTGTAGTCGACGGATCCTCCAATGCCCTTGCCTTCGGCGATGATTTCGGCAATATTCTCGTAGGCATCAAACGTTCGATCGGCATCTCCTCCGGCATCTTTTAGTGTTTGCATGGCCGATTGGACCGTGTCACTGGCGTAATCATTATAGGCAAAGGCAGCGTTGTTGTGGTCGCCCAATAAGTTGAGAGGCGCCAATGTGAGAACCGAAATCATTGCCATGGATGCCAAGAAGGACTGCAAGGATTTTGGTAGTAGTACCTCTGGATCTTCATTATTACTGTTGTTTGATGATGATGACAGTGATAATACGGATGATGTTTGTGGTTGTTGATGCAGAGGCTTAATGAGGGTACTACCAGTGCTAGGAGAGGGTACCGCAAAACCTTGCACTGCTCCCACGAGGGCAAAACCCACAGCGCACGCTTTGACTGAAGAAGACATCATGGCTTTGAGATGCGATGTGATGCGATGTGATGCGATGGAGGTCCAATAATTGAGACTGTGCGAGCCAACCACTGTCAAGTGTCAACCGTGTTGTTATTGTCGATGATGAGGATTGTTGAATGCCCAAAGATCCAATGAAGGAAATGAGAGTGACGTCAATGGCATCAGGGATTGCAAATGCGTGATTCAGCTCCCAGCCATCCAACAACAGCTCTTCACGATGGGAAGCCAACATGCCAACAGAAAGACATGCCCACTACAAGTACAGGTATCCCTGATAGAGTGTTAATATTAATAGAGTTTGACATTGGTTCATGATATAGATTGCATTGCATAGAAGCGAGACTGAGAAGATGGCGGATCCATCTCAACAACAGCAGAGAATGCGGCAGCAACAGCAGCAGGCCATGTTCAAGCATACCATGGAGTACCCCATTCAATTTGAATTTCCAGCTACCATTACTAGTACCAGTACATCAGTTTCATCATCATCCGACGACACTAAGGAGAATAACAATAATAAAGACAAGAAGCCCCTACGGACAGATCCCGATTTTCTTCAAATCCGACTGTTTGAAGCAGGTATACCCTTTGCTCACCCTCAGTCTCTTGGTCAAACTGCCGAGCAGCTTCATTCCTTTGTCACTCGATTGGAACAATCCGGTTGTTATGAAAGCATCAATGTGGAAATTGACCAGAAACAAAATCAGACAAGTCCAGAGCAGCAGCATGCCACACAACAACTCACCATTCAACTCAAAGAAAAAAACTGGTATCGACTCTACGTGGGAGGAGGCATAAGAAATGACATGAATGCCGAACTGGGTGGTGGAAACTCTGTCAATAGCATGCTGGCCAAGACGCAATTTGAAACTACGGCAGGCCTCAATAATCTAACCGGTTGCCTCGATACCACATCGCTACAATACACCGTCGATGCGACCTCCCAATCACGATGGGATTTCCAACACGTGCGACCACTCGATGCTCTGCTACACCCAGACTCCATTTTGGCATCCCTCTTCTTTTCCAATGATGGTGATAGTCAAAAAACAAGTGACTATTCCATTGCCTTGCGAGCGGCATTGGATACGTTAGACTATGAATGGACGCGCAGCTACAAAGAACGACAACGACGAATATCACTCACACTCGCCAACACCAATGTGCCTCATGCCGAAATGATGAGTGACGACAAACCCTATGTCGGGTTCGAATGGAGTTGGAATTTTAGAGACTTGTTACCACGCCGACAATCGACCATGCCTTATTCGATAGATGCATCACCCGAAATTGCCGCACAAGCGGGACCTTCCGAAACAAACTCGATCCAGTGGGAGTATCGGACCAATGGAGTGTTTTGTGACAGCAAGTTGAATCCATCCCAAGGAATTGATTACTACACCAAAGCCGAAATTGCTGGACCACCGGGAGATGTGGGATTTGCCAAAGTACAAAGTGGTGGCGCGGTTCATATACCGCTCCTGAATCATCTGTGCAGTTTGCACGGCTCACTCCATACGGGCTTGCTGGAACCATTGTCGTTTGGTGGGGCATGTCCCAAACCACCCACCGTCTCGGACCGGTTCTTTGTCGGGGGTCCACTGCAATTGCGAGGATTCTCTCCCGCTGGGATTGGTCCCCGTGCGCCTGAACAGGGAGATGCCCTAGGAGGAGAATTCTTTTACACGGCAACCTTGGCGGCGTCCATGACGACGGCAGCACTCGATCAGTATGGAATTCGACTCTTTGGATTTGCTAATGTTGGAACGCTAGCTGGATCTTTGGCTACCTTGACCGCATCTCCCTCTGCCGTCGTCAAGAGTTCCCGGGTATCTGCGGGTGTGGGCGCTTCGGCCGCCTTGCCCATGGGACGAATCGAAGCCACATATGCGTGGCCAATCCGGTACGGTCCCAGAGATATGAGACGAAACGTGCAGTTTGGACTCGGATTTAGTTTTGGTTAATAACAGATACTACAATAGAATTATTATAACGACAGAGCTAGTTTGGGTATTCCCGAACGACATGTACTACGATTTTACGATTTGATTGAATAGACTTGGAAGAAAGGGTTTTTTGTTTGTTTGTTTGTTTTTTGTATTCTAATTTATGACTGTATGTAATGTATTATAATCCGGCAGGCAAGCAACAATGACAAGAATGATCACTTACCGAAGCTCCAACAAGGAAACCTCACCAAAGGAACCAAATCCCTTCTTGGCAGCCTTCTTGACCATCTTGATCTTCTTTTGCTTAATGTCAAACACGTACAGGCATTCATCACTGCCCGACAAGACCACTGTTGCGCCTCGGCCTCGTGCCATGCCGGTAATCTTTTCCATTTCGTGTTCTTCAAAGAGCTCGTATTCGGCAAGCTTGGCAACCTTGGGACCCAAACTCCAAACCATCAACTTGGATTCATCCGCCACTACGATTTGGTTGAGTTCCTTGGGAGAAAAGAGAGTGCCAACAATTTTGGAGTCAGTTTCGTCAATGGTGGCCTTCAACGCGCCGCTGCGAAGATTCCAAAACTTGAGACCGCCATCACCGCCACTTACCAAAAGACCCGGCTTGTGTGGACACAGTTCGAGCGTTCGTACTCCTTCGTGTTTCATGGTGCACCGAGCCTCGTAAACGACCACGGCGCCATCGCCGTCGTATTCACGGAGCTCTCGGTTGGTGGTATCCCACAGCTTGATCTCACCACCACCGGCACTGGCCATGGTATCGCCTTGCCACTCCAGTGCAGTCACTAGAACGTCTTCGCCGTGTCCTTGGTACTCGACTGGAATTGGAACTCGCCAGCCAACATTGCAGGTGGTAATGCGATGATTGGTAGCCGCCGCGAATCGTTGTTGCCCATTCCATGCCATGGCTGTGACGTGTCCCTTGAAGTGAAAGAGCTCTGCTTCGTGATCCACCTGTCCAGCGAGGTCGTCAAAGAACTGTACCGAGTTCTTTTGTCCCAAAGCTAGGCAATCACCGTCGGGAGAGAATCGCACGCAGCTGTAAGGCGATGTACTCAAATGGGCAATTCTGTCGACGCGGCCCGTGACAGTACTTCGCATGTAGACTTCATTGGCAAGAGCAATGGCCTGCGAGCCATCGTCGTTGCAGTCCATAAGTTGGGTGCCATTCTGGATCATGCCTGGGACATCGAGCACCGCGGTTTGCTGAATGTCAATGGTTGTTGGCTGTTGTGCATGTTGTTGTTGCTGCAGCCCGTTGTGGTGTGCCAAATTGTGATTGTTGGGGTCAACGGTTGGACGGCGAGCAGTGGTGGTGGCTCCTCCAAAATTCATTATGCGCTCATTGTTGCTGTCGGCGATGTCGTCACCAAACAAGACTTTTCCAACATGATTCTTGTAGGCCGATTCAAAGGGAGTCTGTGGCTTTTGCGCGGTTGTTGTTGTTGATGCATGTTGCAACAAGGAGTGTCGAGCTTTGGCCACATCCGTCTTGGCTCGATTGGGAATGAAGCGATCACCGGCAGGAGTAAAGTCAAGACGGCGCCCAGGAGTCTTCATCATGGCCGTCTTTCGCACCGTGGAGGGTGGTGCGAATCGGAGCTTTCGTCGTGCCGTCGTCGCCGTGACGGGAACGCGCTTCTTGGCAGCAGGTGTCATGGTGGAAGATTTCATCATTGTCATGTTGCAGCAATTAATTCGAGTGAACAGAGAGGCAGCAATTCGAGATAACAGAGTGAATAGCAGTTCAAGGAATCGAGTTGCAAATTTGTGAGCACAAAGAGTGACTAGAAAATGATCGCTCCACGGTCAGCGTGGGGTTTTCGGTCCATGATTGTCGGTGATGGCGCTGGACTGCTGACAGTCCGAACTTGTCATCCACGATCTGTCAAGTGATTAGAGCTGATTGGGCGTCTTCTGCTGTCATTTCAGGCGGTTGTTGTGGCACTGCTGCTGTTCTATAGCAGTGTATTGGGGGTGCTGCCGTATTGTAGCTCATGGTGGGTGTATCATGGTCCATGGTCCTCATGGTGTTGCTTTTGCCTGATCCTCGAATGCTTGCATGGATGAGCCTGACTGATGATTTTGGATTGAGTCGTGGATACTGCATTCCCAGTCATAATGATGACTTGTGACCGGTCGATGTCTCCCCTCCCTCCAACGCTGACGTGACCGCCCAAGTCCCCCTCCCAACCCCCAACCACGAACCCCGTCGCGACCGCTCGCAAGGAACCTTGTGTGAGCAACCAAGCAAGCGCTTTCTTCGTTCCTTCTTTAGAAGGACGACCCAACCGAGATCCCAAGCAAGGGAAGACCTCCACCTGCATCATTGTTGACAGCAGCAATAAAAGCAGTGACGATATGACATACAGGTAGGTACTCCGTTAGCTAGTAGCTTGCTCTCGCCATCGGTACTAGCTACGACGTAGCTACTAGTCGAAGGGACACCTGCAAACAACACGGTCAAAGGATCCATTTAGTGGCAGTGATGACGTCACTGAGCATCGCCGGACGACTTGAAGGAAGTCTTTAAGGACAACGTCATTTCTGGTCTAAATGGGTTGGTAATTAGTGCGAAACGAGGCGCCACAATTCAAAAAAGTTTTGGGCGGTCCCATCACAATTTGGTTTTGCCTGTTGGCATCATCACTGCTGCGCAATGTATGCATTATAACAAATAGACAGGCAGGATTAGATTAGACTAGACTAGTCGACTAGTCTAACAATGGAGAGGTCAAGGCCGTACAAAGTCCTTGGAGGGAGGAGAGACCATCTACCATCAGACAACAACAGCATCGTGGAGAAGCCCCGTCCCTATAACTACTTTGCCCATCAACTACAAAAGATGGCGGCCAGCGAAATCAACAGGAAAGAAACTCTCACGACTGCTGCTTGCGGTCATGCTGCTACCCAAAGTTCTTCCGGCAATGAGAAGAAAGGTTATTTGCATTCTCCTGTCGACGTGACGACTACAGGCACTCCTAAACGACGACGCAAAGAGGACGGCGATGGTTCGCGTATCCGATTCTCTCCCGAGAAAAATAAGAAAGAAGCACTCGACAATGATGATACCTGTACCGATACCGACGCAAGGAACAACACCCATGCCAACAGTCCCGACGAGGACGACCATTCTCAGCTGGCGGGTACCTTTATTCTGCAACCTATGGACCAGCAATATCGTGTCAACGACAACCTGTCCTACTCAGACTCGGAATCTTCCGTGGTTCGAAATCTCAATCAAGAACTCATGTGGGAAACTTTGAAGGAAGATGAAGAAGAAGAGGAAGATGCCCCCTTTGACTGTCGCTTTCATACCGGTACATCAGGAAAGGTCGTCTTGGAAGGCTCACCAGCCACTGGCATGACATTGTTAACCCACCAACATGCCTCGCTGCCACCTCCAGCCAAGGAACCTCCAAGTCCAGACACTAGATCATCCAGTAAAACTTCCAGCATGGATCAGGACGAACAGACTGTGGAGGATTCCACTTCTTCTTCTTGTTCTTCTTCCTACTCCTCATCGACGTCTTTTTCAAATACTTCAAATCGATCATCATCATCACCAATGCAATCTGCTCCAAGAACCCTAGAGTTTGTAGGTCGCCAAATCTCCGAGTGCAGCTCTGTGACAATGGAACTGGATTCAGAAGGTTCCACTTCCTCGGCAGGCAGCTACTCTTCCGACTATGATTCCGAGTCATATGATGCTTCTATCAATTCACTGGACACGGGTGTCATGTCCAAAAGGGAAGGCTCAAACTATCTCAGTTTCAAGCGAAACCAAGGTTCCAGAGCCACAGATAGCTCTACACTTTCCGACAGACAGTGCCAGCCGGCTGATTCCTTGTCGTTCTGGATGTGGTCACTGGGAGAGACGGACAATCAGTTCGATAGTCCTACTCAACAACTCCAGCCAAAACCTTCTCCCCTGAATAATCCAAGGACGAGAAGTTCCAAAAAACGCAAAGGCCAGCAATCCAATCAGCAACAACAACAACGACAAGCCAGTGGAGGGGGAAGTTTCATGTTTCCCATGTTTCCCACGGACCCCTTCAAGAGTGCAGAGTCGCACCAACGATCCAACCAACAAACTGCTTCCACGGACTCGCCCTTGTTTTTAGACGTTATGGCAGACGAACTCAAGCAACTCGCAATCATTGCTGGAAAGAGTTCGGAGGATCTAGTCTCGTCCATTTTTACCCAACTCTGTGAGGACTCGCGCGAGTCATCATAGAATATATACTACTGTACCTCCTTGAAAAGAAGACTGCATCTCAGCGACAACAATAAGAGATTGTTCTTGAACCGTGTTGACTCGCTTTATGTTAACTGTATTAGCTAGCCAACGAAATGCATGGGAAAAATACATTCACGCACGCAGAAGAATGTTTCGCTGAAGAAATACGTATAACAAAAGTACTATAAGAGGACAAACATCTTTTTTTAAAGCTTTATGGAATGCATTCATCTTACGGGCCATACAATGACACAAAAGAATGCGCACGGCCCTCATCTGCTCCGGCTTCGTTTGCTCTTTTTCCCCTTGGCCTTGCTCTTCTTCTTCTTCTTTGATTCCGTTGGTGATGGCGAGGAACCTAGACTCAACCAGTTGCGAAAAGCCCCGTTGCCTTCTACCATCGCCTCGCTTACCTCTTTGGCCGCCGTTGCAAAGAACTGTTTTGGCGTCTTCAAAATATCCCTGCTAATTTCTTCTTTCATGATAGTTGCCTCTTCCACCAACACTTCTGCAACCTCTCCGAGCGTCGAAAAAGAAAAATCAATCTGAAGCTCGGAAGCAAATGTTTGATCGTCCGTCCCAGAAGTCACGTACGACACTTGCGTAGAGCCATCCGAATTGTCTGAGGCACGGGACTTGTCCTCTTCCTCGTCTTCAATTAGGACCTCAACAGCATCCTTGGACGTTGACCACCAGATCACTGCTTGAACATCATCTGGTTTGGGAGCTGGCGGCTTGTCTTGAAGCGATCCAGACCACGGCAACGCTTTTTCGGGCATCTGGTCCGGTACAGTTCCCGCTTTCTTTGTTTGAGCACTAGCCGTGGTTGATGATGAAGCCTCCGAACGGCGGCTCTTGCTGTCGGAACCTTCCGAACGGCGGCTCTTGCTGTCGGAAACCTCTGAGCGGCTCCTGCTGGAGGTCATCGAACGGCGACTCTCATCTTCTTCTGGCTGGTCGCTGGTGCTTTGATCTCGATCTGATCGCATGATCTCATTGTCCTCGAGATGATCCAGAACGTTGTCTTCTGGGATGGTGAGTTCCTGAAGTCTTTGCTTCATTTCTATCTTCTCTCGCTTCTTTCCATGTTTCTTCCCTCGCTTCTTTTCTTTCTTGCGCTTTTTTCGCTCTTTCTTCTGTTCCTTCGTCTCCTTCTTGGACTTTTGAACGGTTGGCACCTCGACATCACGCGATTCTGCGGCTACGTGCTTTCCTTCATTCTTGGTACCCTTCTCCGGTCGACGTCGAGATGGACTTGCACGAGGACTCGTGCCAGGGCTTGAAGCTGAAGGTTTGGCGGTCTTCTCGGTGCCCACCAACCTTTGCCTGACATCAATGATCTTTGATTGCTTCTTCGTGATCGCCATAAAGTCACCCACTAGTTTGGCTTCTCGCTCGGTATTTATCTTGGATTGCATCTTCGAAATCTCGGCAAAGCCATACATTAAACTTCCTTCTTCGTGACCCTGATGGCCTTCGTGGTTGGCCTTAGGACGTTGTGTTTCAGCTGCGAGATTGTCTGTATGTTTCGGGTCATTCCCGGTGTCAGGCGTCAGATCATTCTCAGCAGGCTTCACTTCATTCCCAGCAGTTCTTCGTTCATCCTTGGTGGAACCTGCAGTAGATGATTCGGTTTCAGAACTTTCCTCGGGGCTCTCCCCCGCCTCAGCATTGGACACTGGCACGGAAGCATCCTGAGGACTAGGTGGTGAAGCCAAGTCATCAGTATTGCCTTTGGGTTCTTCCGCAGAGTCGTCAGCATGCCACCTTGCAAAGACAGATTTCAATGACGCAAATTTTTCGAAAATCTGTCGGCTGTTTTCTTCTAGAGTTTCAGATCCGTCCGATTCCAATTCGTTTTCTCTTGACTGCCAGGGCTCTTCGGGCACATTATTCGCACTCGAAGCACTTTGCTGTGATCTCGAATCTTCACCATCGGAGACATTGCTGAGTGCGTTCAACATGTTGTCAATTCGCCCAACGTGCTCATTGATTGGTACCGGTATGCCACGCGGCCAGGGATCGCCAAGTTGGGGTGCAGAGTTGTCTTCCGGACTTCGTGCGCCTACTGCAGGAGGAGGCATGAAATCGACTGCATTGGACATCGTTGGGAAAACGAGCGGCTTGGAAGGATCGACACCAGCAAACTGAAACTCTTCGGATTCATCGACCTCTTCAGATTCTTCTGACTCGTCAGCAACCAAAGCGAGTGACAGTCCTCTTCGACCCTCGGCAGTCTCCCGTGCGTCCACCTCATCATCTTCGGCTGGTTCCCTATCTTCATTGTCGTCGCCCTCATGACGGCTGTTTCGTTTACCCCGCCCTATTTTCTTGAATGGCTTCAACAGAGACTTCATAATCTTTCTCTTCTTCGGTTTTTCAGACTCAACTGTCTCGTGGTGCTCGCTGGAAGCACTCGATGACTCTGACTCGGGCTCGTTTTCCGCTGGTTCTTCAACTGGTTCCAAAACGTGTTCTTCAATGTTTGATTCAACAACCGCAGGATCAGCATTGTCACGTTGACCCCCTTCCAGCATCCTTTCTAAGGGAGAGGGAGAGAGTTTGCCCTCGCCACCTTCCCTTCTCGCATCAGGTTCCTCTCGCGATTCGCTCTCAACTCCATCGCCGCGATCCCTGTTAAGTCCCAACTTTTCGACCCAGTAATCTTCGTTGTCTTCGTGGTCGATCTCGTCCTGCAAGGTTGCCAATATTTGCTTGCATCTGCTCAATTGTTGTGATACTCGGCTCTCGCCCGACAGTATTGAAGTAGAATCCGTGTCTGGAATCTCGTCCATCATGGTGGCGATCCTACTACCAATCTATTTGGATGGTAGGATGAGCAAATATGCTTATTTTTGTGGCTGTTCCCTGCGTGCGGCTCGGATACTGAACACTCAGCAAGTGGTCGTGTGGAGTCCCAAGCCGCTTTACATAGAAACTATGTTGTATCTGATCACGCAGGTAGCTTTGTCTAAGCAGATTCATCGTCAGGAATACTAACGGATGATGACAACGGAAAGTCGGCAGTTGATTGGAGCAGCTCGAACGGTGAAGGCTTGTTGTAGATAGTTGTGTAGTTTGGCCAGTGTTGGAGGAACGACAGCGCACGTAGAAGACGTTGATTTTCCTGAAAAAGTCTGGATCTTCGTGCACCTGTTGCTTGAGCGCACCCCGTTTCGTTCGGGAGGGACAGCTAGGTCGGGATCTTTGCGACCCCGCGAACCAATGGACAGTTCCGCCAAGCGCCAAGCCCACACCTCTCGCGGACCTCAGCATTCTGCGTCGTCGCTTGTGGGGTTCTGATGACTGCTTATTGATAAACTTGAAAGCCAGTGAGTGTCAGCGCAGAGCGATCTCAGCTGCTACAGATTACGATGTCGTGCTCGAGGCGCGCACATGGCCCCTGTGAGAAACAATATGTAGATACGACCCGCCCACCGGTTGTTTCCCAGCTGCAGCAGCTGGGTACATCGGTATGGTACCGGTCCGGTATCAAGTCGCCAGAGGAATAAGCGCCAGGTTCCATTAGCAATGTTTTGACACCTGTAACCCAGCACCCATGAAAAGAAGTTGTCCTCCAGTGTTCCAAAGTGTTGCACCGCTCAGTATTGCATCGTACCGGTACACCCCCTTGCCCTTGGCTTTTGATTCGATTCATTCGTCTGTTTGCTGCAAGAGCTAACTTCGTCTTACCCTTCACACAGCGAACTTGGCTCAGGCAAATATGCCGGTAGCTATCTATAGATAGTTGTGTTCGTAGAAGTTGAAAACTATTCTACAAAATTGCCAACAACTCATCAGTTACAACACAACAGTTTTAGATTCAGCTGGGTACCGTTGAACTTCAGCCAGGCCTAGAAGGACAACTAGCTAGACTGCTTACAAAGAACCAACGACTTCATGCATGCCGCCAACTGCTCGAGAAAGCTCGTTTTTCTTGCCTTTGGGGCTTTCTGTTTTTATCAATACATGCAATAATGTAAATAGTACAGCATATTTCTTTTGGGGGGCACAGAGCGAAAACAACTAGTACGGTAGAGGTCCTGGAAGCTTGGAAGCTTGATTGTCTTTTTGTTTTTTTTGTTTTCGCTGGCATGCTCCATTGACCGCATGCTTTGATCGGCGATGTCGCCATCAGTAGAATTCTCCTGGTAGACAGCACAAACAGCCGTAAGCCTCTGTGCTCATTGGCCTCGTGATCCAATCCTCCTCCTCACAATCAATAATCATGGTAGGTTCATCCATAGTAACAAGCGTTCCTTCCTCATAAGAGCTTTCCGAATAATAGGTTTCGTCTTCTCTGGTGTCTTTGTTTTCGACGTAGTAATCTCGCTCGTCCCTAAACAAAACGTCCAAATCCGCCTTTGGTTGCCTATAGGATTGACTGGCCCCGATTGGGTCTTGCGCCCAAATATGGCGGTTTGGAATCACCATCTCACTTTCACGCGTCGAGGAGTCCATGGAAGTGGCCGAAGAATCTTCCAACGGTGGGGGCATTATGGGGGCGTGCCTTATGGGGGCGTGCATTACCCTTAGGTCATGACTGCGTTCTTCTGGTCCTCCTCCAAGCAACCCAAGATCAAAGGCTTGCCTCGTCGGAGGCTTATTGGACTTGTTGTTTGGATAGAGGGGAGGAGTCCCACCTTTGCTCTTTTCGCGGGGCATTTTCATTTGAATTGGGCCAAACTTTTGGATGTCGCTTCCGAATAGTTTTACGTCGCTCTTCTTGAGGAGATTGCGCTTCATTTGGTCAGCAAGAGACACGCTCTTTTGCGCCGACTGATCGAGGGGGTCCTCTCGTGAGTCTCTTTCTTTGTTTCTAGTGTCTCCCTCTTTCACCAGAATCGTGTGCAACTCCGCCATGATATAGCTGACTGTAACAACTGTAATAACTAGCTAGCTAGAGGTACTGTACTGTAGCAACTTGAAGGCGTGACAAGTTCTTTGTGTGATGATGAATCTAATTTCGCACTCGTAGAGGAAGAGGGTTCCACAAGACGGTCAAGACGTTGAGGACCTTGAAAAATTTCCTCAGCGCACCTGAAGGTTGGGTGGAAACGGAAACGATGTCGTTGCTGCTGGCCATGGCGAACGCAGAGCCGCTCCCTACAATAAAATGTGAGAAGAGCTAAACCTGATGCATCGCCACACGTCAACAGTTGTTTTCGATCCGATTGCTCTAAATACCATGGGTTTGCGCCCGTTTGGAATATTATCTAGAGAGATCGAAATGTTGAGCGATCTCATCTTCTAAGTAACACTACTGAGTTTTGATACTCGCGGTTGGAGTCAGGTTCCCTTGGTTTTGCCTCGGAACCTCATGCATCATTCATCTCGTTTGGAAGCCCTCGATCGGAAAGGCATTGCTGCATGATCTCTCGGCATTGACAGCCACAGCAGCACAATCAACGATGAGGATTACCAAAGGTTCTTCGTTTGCAACATGGACGAAGCGGTTGCAAGGCAAGAGCTCTAGTAGCAGTAATTCACAGAAACGAGAGAGCAAGAGCAAGAAATCGGCTGGTCGACGGGCCTTGTCACCACTACGACGTACCAGGTCACCGCCACCACCTCAATCACCCGGAAAGTCATCCGGTAGTCGAGACAGATATATTTTGCTTTCGTCGAAGAAGGAAAATGTAGACGAACGCGCTAATAAGCCAATCGAGCAACAGACTGCGGTCGTGCAGGAGGAACAACGTGTCGACCAGACTGTGGTCGTGGAGGAACAACCTTTCTTCGATACTGCATGTACGGAAAATCGCCTAGACGAGTCGGAGCAACGTGTTGAGGAGTCGACAGAAGTAATCATTGCTAAAGCCGACGACGGAGTTCGTGATGCTGCCGATGATCATTCCGATGTGTTTGTGGATGTGGAATCACGCTCGGACGATGGAGACGCAGTCGAATATTCACGAATGTCTTTTGACTCAGACGGTTCCAAAAAAGCAGAAGAGATGGAGATGTCTTTGGGTGAAGATATTACGCGTAACGAATACGATATACCTGAATCTAAGGAGGTCAGGTTGGGTGACAATGGCAGTCTTGGTCCCGTGCCACTGGAGGACTCCAAGATTGGTTCCATATTGTCATTCAAAGACTCCATGCTGGAAAAGATAGATAATCTTGCCGAGCAGCCCGAGGACAATGAGCGGCCAATCCCTGCGGGTGCACTGTACTGGACTCAGCTTTCCCCTGAACAGCAAGCAGCAGCTGGTTTTTTGGGCTTTGATGAACAATCGTGGGACAACGCGAAGTGGAAGAGAGAGATGAGAGAGGCAGAGAAGGAGAAAAAGAAAATGTCTGAGTTGGCTAATGAGGACAATGAGGACAAAAATCAAGCTGAAACGGAGGTGCTAGTGCGTCGTCTTGGTGACGAAGATGTCATGCAACAGTCCGATGTCATTCAACAGTCCGATGTCATTCAACAGGCAGGTGGCGATGCGCCAGCGAACGCCCAAGAGCAAGACGGTGCCAATGTAATGCCACATGTGATTCTTCAAGATACCGATCAACGTCGTCAGAAAGAACCCGAGGCGATTGTGGGCATTGAGGATCTCACAGCTCTGTCTGTGGCTGCAGCTGCAGCTTCGTTGCTACCAACATGGCGCAAACAAGGCTCGACTTTGCCCCCCGACGAGGATGCAAGCACCACCCGTAACAAAAGCTCCTCGGCTGAATCCCGGGGAGATACACCTGAAGGAACCGAGAATGATGACAAAGCCATTGGAGATGATGGTGTCCACAGTGAGGTTCTCAATGGCCCCGACATTGCCAACCACGAAGAGCCCACCTCCGCCACACCGACCCAGGGCAGTACCGACCAATTCCAAAAGCAGGATCCAGCTGGTAGATACCCTGGCGATGCCGTTGATAACATCGATGGTGCTGTTGCTCATAACGCTCCAGAAGAGGCTGTTGCCCCGCAAGAAGACAGCGTGGAGTTTCCTGCCGATGGCATACTGCCAATCACAGGATCCACAAACGACGACGGCATCGAAGAAACGGTACTCGAACAAGCGTCTGGTAATGTCACAGATAAACACGACATGAAACGAGACGGCGAGTCAAGTGTTGCAGAGTCACCCGTGCCCAGCAATGATTCAGAAGAATCGCTGAAGGTTGACGAGAAGAAACAATCTCTCGCACCTGTCATTCGGTTTCCCAAGCCCAAAATGAAGAACTGGGGTAGGTTGAAACGACCAAAGACAACAGAAAAGAGTACGGGCGCTCCATTGGCCTCGGTTCCTTTGGCAGAGTCGCTGGCGATGAACAGCGAAGAGATCCAAAAGATGAGAATGAAAAACAGAATGAGGGAAGAGAAAAGAGCCTTGCGTCGTGTGAAACTCAAGTCAAGGAATAAGAACAAATTCGTTGGAGTTGGTGAGATCATATCGTTTACCAGCAGTCCTATTGATCCGCCAGTGCAGACTGCAAGCTCCAAATCCGAGCCCAACATCTTGAGGAAGACGTCGCAAGTACGAGAGGCCATCTTCCAAGGAGCGGCAGCTCAACTGAAGTCAAATCATCTCGAACCACCAAACGACTTTGAATTATCGAAAATGATTCTTTGGTCTGATGACACGCAGGATGACTTCGGCGTCGAAATCATTCCATCAAAATCTGAGGGGCTTGTCCCCGATCCTCAACGTGCAGCGTCCCCGACAGGAGCCGCTTCACGTGCATCTGCCGCTTCACGTGCATCTGCCGCTTCACGTGCATCTGCCGCTTCACGCGCATCAGCCGCATCACGCGCATCAGCCGCATCACTCGCATCTGCCGTTTCACGCGCATCTGCCGCATCTATACATGTCTCGGAGGAGCAACGAAGCAAAGATTTTGAAGTGTTGAGTCATGATTCTGACAGCGATGAAGATGAGGACGAAGTGGAGGACTTCGGCGACGAAGAGGAGGAGGATGAGGTGGCAGTGGAAGACGAGGAAGATTATGAAGCGTCGTTCGTTGAAATCACCAGGGCTAATGTTGCAAGTGATGAAGAAAACACGGCAAAATCAGCAAGGTCAAAATCAACAAGGTCAAAATCAACAAGGTCAAAATCAACAAGGTCGAAGGAGGGGAAGTCCAATAGACGCAAGGACCAGCAAGAGTGGAAAGGTAAGAGCAAGGACAGAAGGCGCGAAAAGCGGCGTGAGAAATCCAAGAGAAAACACAGTAAGAGGCACTTGGCGGCGTCATCGTCGGACATCTCGGATATCATGGAACAGTTTACGTGTCCTGCTGAAGTGGTAGGGGAAGGCAATCCGGTCTTGTGCAGCACGATCGCGGAAGGCGACGAAGAGGACGGGGGATGTCGAGACGTTACGTACGACCTGCGAGACATGGCCATTGAGTTGATTACGAAAGGCCCCAAGGTCATCATAAAGTGGCTCGAGTGAGACGTGGTGGCAAAGCTAAGTTGCCCGAGTCCCTGGAACAATCAAGCCAAGACGAAAAGTGATCTAAACAATAGGTCTTGCATCGTTCCCCTCCTTCTCCGTCTCCCTCGTGCCCACACCCCTTCTTTAACACCCAGTTATAACACAGCATAGTTTCTCCTCTGGTTAAGGTCGTAACGTTGATATTTGTGTTGCGTGGTCAATCCTCTAGCTAGCCTATCAAATGCCCTTCCCGAGTCCCTTCGTTGGAAGAGCAGCTTGGGAACTTGGATACACACAGTCCACTCTGCGATAGCACAGCGTTGGAAGATATAGTACTTTCTTATGGAAGTTAGGGGAAGTTCAAAGTTTGTTGTTATTACATATACCCATGTTCGCCTACCGGTCCTCGGTACCGGTAGCTTGCACACCCATCCTGCCAGCAAGCTCCTGCACTTTCTCCAGGGATTCATCAATCCTTCGCTCCATTTCTCTCCACTCCTGGCTCTCTGAGTCTTCAACAGCAATGCCGCCGTCTGATGAGACACCGGAAAGGCACCCGCGAGAGCTAGCAGCACGAAGCAGCATATTGTGGAGATCTTGGAGGTCATCCGTAACCTCGAACTGATCAGCTAAAGCCTCAGCTTTTTGGAGGGATTCGTTGATTCTCTGCTCCATCGATCCCCAGTGTTGCAAAGGAGCTTTGGTTTGACCATCGGACCCGTCACGTCCGCTTGTGGCTCCTGCATGCCGGCTACTAGAGCCAGCGTCACGATTCTCCTTCTGCCTGCGAGGCATTGCCATGTTGAAGACACGTCGCATTGCTTTGTTGGCAGCTTTTGTGGAAAGCCTCGCGTGGTTACTTTTCTTATCGAATGGTGGTGACTTCCGCTCTGACCGTTTCTCTGTTGTTGCAACATCAAAGTCTTCAGCCGAGGCGGAGACTGAAGATTTGCTCTTCAAGTCGTTCCAAGACTTCGTGGGTTCGCGATCAAGATCATCGACCAGCGAATGTTTACTGATCCTTTTCCTATTCGTTGTCTGCACAGGGCTCCCGGGGCTTGTTGGCCGTCTCGACGACGGCCGCTTACCATCTCCTTCGGCCCCGTATTCGGAAAGGAGCGGGGATCGAGCTCTTCCACCGCCTTCTTGGTTTCGGGAATATGCCAATTTGAAGAATCTCTTGAACGTCAAAATGTTCTTTTCTTCGTACTGGGATAAGGAAGCCTCGTCATCGCCGTCGTCTTCGTCGTCTTCATCGTCGCTGCCATGTTCATTCGCAGCTGTAAGAGCTCCAACATTGACAGGCAAAGCACCAGCTTCGTTGGCGGCTGTCCCAATGCTCTTATCTGTCATGATCAAAGTCAGCTCAGTGCCGATTTCTTGGTCCCCAAAGCTAAAGGACTCGTCGACGCTGACTTGTTCACCGCTACATGTAAGAAGTGCCTTCAGTGCTTCTTTGTCTGCCTCCTGGCCGGCGAGTGATCCGACTGGATGGTCGTCATGGCTCGAGTCTTTGGGCGTGAGTGTTCTCAGGAGGAACGATCGTGAATCGGCCAATGATCCAGGTGTCGACTTCTGGTCGTCAAAGCTCAAGTCTTTCGGTGAAAGCTTGCTCATGAGGAACGACAACGCTTCAGATTCCTCAACGAGATTAAAGTCTTCAACTTCAACTGCGTCGGTCTCGTTGTCCTCGGCGCCATTGGCTTGTTTGACAAACTTTTGTGGTTCATCTTTGTTCATTTGATTTCGAGGGGAGGGATCATAGCTCTTTGCCCGTGCTACGTCTTGAGTTGCCTTTGTCGTAGAAGGGAGGTTCGCATCCAGGCTCACGACCGCAGCAATGCGCGAAGCAGCTGCGATGAAGTCGTCTTCTGCGTGATTGCTTTTACCGATCCGTACCCCCTCCTCGTTACTGCTTCTATGCTTGACGGCACTGTTCTCGGGGCCTTCATCGTGTTCGTTGGCCGGGGAGGCCGCCCGCTCATCAGAGAATGCTTCGCCTTCATCAGACTCCGCCTCTTGCACATTGTGGTCTTCCGGCGTTGCGCTCGTGTTGTCGTCCGCCAATTCTTCATCTTCAATATGATCAGGACCTTCAGAGATAACGGGAAGTGAGGGAGGTTGATTCCTGACATACCTTGCGATGGAGCGGAACAAATTGGAGGACTTGCGTCGTCTTCGTCTGGGCTTGTTTGGTTGCTTGGCACTCATGTCGGGTAACACAAGCGCAACAGGTTCTTTGGAGTTTTTCTTCTTCTTCTTGCCAGTCCATCCCTGAAGCTTTCTTCTCAACCGTGCAACAGGTGGTGCTTCCACTATCCGATGACCTTCATCTTCAGGCGGCATAGCTTCAGCGAATGCAATGGCAGCGGCAATCGCCTTATTGACCTTCTCATCGTCAAGTTCTGTGGAGACGTAAGGGGGTACTTCTTTAGCAACCTCTGGCTCTGAATCCCTATCCGGTTCCTCCTTGTCTGCCGAAGAAGGGTCGGTCGCTTTTAAATCTGCAGCCTCTCGGCCGACAATAAGAATTTTTCCAGCCCTTGTGTCACTGTCGGCAGAAAGAGTCATCCTGGTTGAGATGGTGGTGTCATCATGAGGCTGGTATGTAGTCATGTAAGACGTTGAGTAGGTCGTTTTACTTGCTTCATCAGTGTCATAGGCGGTAGTGGTGGGTGTTGTACCCATGCTTGGATCAAAGCCGTTCAACAACAAGTTTTCCAAAGTCTTTTTCTCTTCGGTGGTCATGGAATCCACCTCGTAGCTATGGACGCTTCTCACGGTGCTCTTCCCAAAGCTTTCAGATGTTGCAACTGCCGGCATAGACTGCGTAAATGGTAACGTAGGAAAGCGGGCTATGGGATCGAGGGCCATGCCCGTAAGCGCCTTGTCTCGTTCGTTGGCAACTGTTGATGACTCGAAAGAAGTCTTTGAAGTCTTTGAGTTTGATGCACTAGTAGACGATTTAGTGCTCTTTGAAGCATTGCTCTTTTCGTCAGTGTCTGACGTCGAAGTTTCCCCGGAAGACGAATCTCCGGTAGTCGAATCGCCGGTAGATGACGACTTGGAATTCTCGACGACACTTTCGTTCGCCTCTTTGTTGTCTGCAGCAACAGCAGAACCTTGTGCGGTTGCATCTTTAGAGGCGTTGAGAGAGCCATTTTTCGGTAGGATTTGGAGAGAGCCATCTTTGGTTGTATTTTGGAGAGAGTTCACTTCAGTAGGTTCTTGAGGCATGGTGTCAACTGTGTTCAACTGTTTGTCTTCATCATTGGTGCATTGAAACATTGGTGGTAGACCAAAGGCATGGAAGTATGAATTCTTGGGTTGTGGAGGTTTTGAAGGTGACGATTTTTCCTTGACTACATCTTCCTTTGTCGCTGACTTTACTGACTTTACTGCGGATTCGTCGTCCATGGCTTTTGATTTACGATGCAACCGAGGAGGGCCGATGACCAGTGGGTTTGTGTCCTGGCTATTGGTTTCCAGAAGCTTTAATAACTCACGAGCTTCTCCTTCTCCAAGGCCAAAAATGCCACTATCAGCGGTCTCCATTGCAATGCTGTCTAACTCAGTCCTTGTTGTTCCAGTGTCCTCCATTCCTGTCTTTGTAACGGTTTCGTCGGTGTATGTCCTGGTATCTGTTTCGGTTCTGGTTCCTTCTGCTACCGTCGTGTCCCCTTTCGTTCCTGTGGCTGTCATGTCAGTTTGAGTGACTGTATCAGAGTATGCGTCCAGCAATGACTTGATTTGTATTTCCTTTGTGCTTCTCGAAGAGGCGCTTCCACCATCGGATGTGTCAAGGGAGATACTGAGTTCCTTGAGGATGGTCTGAAGGAGTGCCGAGTTTTCTCCTACAACGAAGCTGGATGAGCTATCGGATTCATTGGTTGTTGAATCATCGCTGGTATTGCTGCTACTAGAAGAGCTGGAAGAAGCCGAACCTTTTTTACGGGAGACTACCACCATCTTGATTGTTTGTTCACCACCACCGATCCCTTGGTTGCACAAGTTTCGAGACTCGTGCTAGCAATCAATACTAAGCATACACAGTGTATGCATAGGTTCTTGCTTCCAACCCAAAAAGTCAAAATCCACAGGCAGGGCAAAACAATAGGATACCTAGGAGAAGCTTCCATTTACACTTTTTGGCGGCGACCACGGTCGTTTTGGAGAGGAACAATGCTAAGTATCCTTGTGTTTGGCTTGTGTGCGGGTCGCCGATTGCGCGAAGCGGAGGTAAAAAGAATAGGCCAGCTAAGGCTGTGAATGATCAAGGGGGGTTATCGTAATCCCGCGTCACTTGCGCCCTTGGCGTGGCTTCAACCTCGTCAGTCGTCCTTCGCTCGGTTGAGTTTCTGCCTCTGGCATTCAAGACACGGTAAACCGTACCGTACTGATGCTTCAGTCCGGAATCGAATATTGTACAACGTTTATGAGAAAGTGGAAGCTCCAAATGGGCAAAAACGTTTCGTCAGTCTATGCACATAGGTATTAGCTGTAGACTGACGAAACGTTTTTGCTGGATTGATGACTTCCTCATCTCACAGAGTTTGCACAGACGATTGGATTGACTGAAATCGCTGATTTTCATGGGATTTCGAAAATGTGAGCGCAAAATGTGAGGCTTAGTTTTAAACTAGATGGCCGGCTCTCCAGTCACAGAAAGTCTTTTGAGTTTTGGATTTAGCCGTTGCATCCAAAGTAAATCGCATCCCACCATGGGCATCTATTTTCGTTCATGTGTGCACGATCAGTCAGCATGTTCTTGCTGTTGACACCTTGGGTGACTCCTCTCACAACACACGTACGATTGACCTTTCCTTCCGAATGAAGTTTCGACAATGATGTAATGCCTCTTTATCAGATGGGATCCAAATTTGCCACCATGGGCATTGCTTGAGTTAGAGCGAACAGCAGCGGACTCAACGCCAAAAGATCGAAGATCGATCGATCAGTCGGATGGCCTCTTTTCTTCATTCTTCGGCATCTCATTATTTTGACTATCGAAACAGCAAACCTCTGCACGAATCCCTCTGCACGAATCGAACGAACGAAATGGCTCTTCTTCTTCATTATCTTTCTTCCGGTCAATTGATCGACGACCATGGGGATCGGCCGTTCGGCCATCGGGATTTTGCTTCTTATCGCTGTTATCTTACAAGGCTCCTTCTGATCCACGCTCGCTCCATCACCGACTATCCGTCCATCCACCGAGCCAACGTCCAGTCGATCCAACGTCCAGTAGATCCAAGCTCTCTTCTCCGCGCTCCTTTTCATTGCCGTTTGGTTCTCCGTCGTTGAATTCTTTGGAATTCTTCACACTCCATCCTTGGTTGACTGATCCTTCCACCATGCCGAATCCCAATCCGGTTGCCCCAAAGCGCCGCAAGGGCAGGAGATTGAGTGCCAAGAAGAAGAAGAGGAAGAAGCCGGCTCAACAGACTGTCACTCCTCAGACTCCTCATGATGAAGCAATAGCAAAGCGTGTCAAGCGTGCGAGTGACGTGGCTGAAGCTTTGGGGATGAGTCCAACCCGTCGTTCTCATCATGCTCGTCTTGCAGATCTTTCCTCTGATGAGGAAGAACCCCTCCGGTCATTGGCGGATCGCCTCAAGCCTGACGAAGACTCAATGGAAGAAGACTCGGAGCCTGATCCTGACGATGACATGGATTACATTCCGGATGAGCAGAAGGTCAAGGCTGCTTTGGCGCAGATATTGCCAGAGGAGAGGGCGAAGAAGATGGCTATTGCATATCTTTATGCTTACAAGTATGCATTCCACGAGGAACACGAAAGACACTCCATGGATTGGCATCAACGGCACGCAAGTCAAGATCCGCAGAGACTTGTACGAAGAAAGCAACCGGACAAAGTATGTTGACGTCTTCACAGACTTACATCACTGCTGCGAGCAACACATTTTCTACACTGGCCAGCGGGTTCATTCTGGACTCAAGCCCGTCATCATCCCAACACGATCTCGTTTGATGCCGTCTTCATTGCCACACTGCATTGAACGGAAGATCATGAGCGTGACAATGGCGATGCAACATCTGAATCTTCTTCGAATTGAAAGAGGCTTGGTCCCTTATTCCAGGTCTGCCGTCGATGGCTTGAAGAAACGACTCAAGCACAGGGTGGTGCCAATTCGCAAGCGGAAGCAAGGCAACAGGGATGTCAACTCCCCTTGGGCACTTCGTCGTCATGGTTGGGCTACACAGCTCTTGCTTCGCATGGGACATGATGTTGAGGTTCCTGACCGGCTTCGTGAAGCAGCGCTGACGGATCCTCCAGAGGAACTACCTCAGCGACAAGTTGTGTTGGGCTTGGACGGCTGGATCAGTGACGAATCGTCTGGTTCCTCTTACAAGGCTGATTCTTCCAGCTCGATTTTCAGTCAAACCGACTCCGACTCCCCCTCCTGATGAAGTAAGTGCGAACGACGAAGGCAGTGCGCGTTCCAGTTCGGAACAACAGCCTGACGATTCCTCTCGTGCGTCCGGTTCTTGCTATGAGTTTCCACTTCCGCCCTGCTTTGATATTGATAAACTCAAAGCCGCAGGATGGGATTTTCAAGTCAATGATTGTGCCGTCTGGGATGAGATGCACAGCAAGTGCAAGATTGGGTCGGTTCATGCGCAAGCTGGTCGGAAAACTGTTGTCCAGTTCGCAAGAAACGACGAGGGGCAACCAGATCCAAACGGAAGCTACAATCATGCTTTTCCTGCGTACTGTTTGAACATCAAGTACGAGGATGAGGTCCGACTTGGACTTGGCTGTGCCATGTTCTCTTACCGCAACGCTGATGGTGTTGTAGAACGCAAGGAGGGATGGGTGTTGGATCCGTGCGGGAACATCATTTCCTTGAAGAAATACCGCGAGCTTGTCAAAATTGAGATTGTCCGGATCAAGAAGATGCGGGATGGTCCAGCCAAGACGCAAGGTTGGTTGGCTACGACACGGGAAGTAGGGAAACTCTACATGTCGGACAACCTCGTAAAAGGAATGATTCCATACTGTGGAAAGGCAAAGATCGAAAAGCTCAACGAACACGGCATCTTCACTGTTCGTGACTTTGCAGAAGCCGAAACCTTCGAGCTGCGGGACATGACGGAAGATTACGCCATGGTGGACGAAGGTGGTGGTACCTTTATGATCCCGTTTGTTGCGAGAAATCTCAAGACTCTCAAAGGTTGGCGTGCCGCATGTCGGAAGGCTTCGAATGTGGTCCCACACACAACTGACTACCGCAAGCGTCCAAATCCCTACAAGTCCCGCTATGGTGAGGATTGGCGAGACTTCATTCAACGATCCACTACTCTGAATTCGACGGGATGTGTCACAGAGGTCGTCAAGCACATGTACAAGGAATCCAAGCGCTTCTTTCGCAAGCACCGACTTAACTTTCACGGCTGGTACTTCTATCAAGATGCGCTGTCCCAGATGACGTCCAAAGAATGCTACGAGTGGATGGAGGAACACGGTTACCTTGCGCAACTGGCTTTCTTTCCTTTGGATTTAACCTCACCAGCAATCGTCTCGACAAGTTCCCGTCAGGAAACAGTCCAGAGGCCAACGATTGGGATACGTCTCTCAACAATGACGTGAATGATTCAGTGAATAGTCATATCATCATTACGACCCATTTGGACGATGACGACCCAACCAAGTTAACCATCTCGACACCAAAGAGTGGGCAGGAAGCGTACCTTCGTATTCTCCAAGGCGCAATGCCCAGTGAACGCATTGTCCAGGATATGGATCGATTCGAAGACTCGATGATGGCGATTCCCTTGGCTCGAGGCGCTTGTCGTCCAGGCCTTTGGCGACGAAAGGGTATTCGGGCCTAAAGGGCCCGGCAATGGTAGACGGTACATGTGAACGTCGCGGTTGGTGCTCTGTTGACCGCAATGTGGATGTATTCTGACCGATGAAGGAGTACAGTGTGGCACAGCCTGAGTGAGATCCGAATCATTGCGTTAGAGTGGTTATGGGCTTTCTTCAGATGATGGGTAGCGTGGCCGAGATGTGGCGGCTCGATTGAGAACGTGGCAATCTGCTTTGGCTTTGAGCTGTGACTCGAAGGACGGCCCAACACGTATGCCTTGTGGGTTAAATCATAGACGGGTCAGTTTGACGACAATGGGGACTAGATTGATGATGCGAATTTCATTACAGAGGAAGAGGATGGAAAGGTGAGATTTTGTGTTGCTGTTTGCACTGCTTTGCAGGGGTCCGTCTTCTTATATTGCTCTTATTTCTAACTTCCCTTTGAAACTGTTTGCCATTTATTGAATTCCTAGCTGCCTGATGATGGTGTTGAGTGTGGATGTTTGAAGGCAGTGCAACAAGGGGTGTTGTGTGGCTGGAGTGTTGGTGGCTAATGAGTGAGTTTGTGTGCCCTGTTTTGGCACGGAAGATTCTTTCACGCGCGAATCTCCACGGGTATTGGGATCTTCGTGATTGGGATCCACATGTGGCTGCTGCGTTTGTGTCGGGATGGGTGTTGCTTGTGACGAGAGATCTCTTTACGCAGCGGGGTGTTTCGTGGGTGTCAGTCGTCTGTACGAATGTGTTTCGGTGGTTCAGATGGTTGATCCGATTTTGATCGGGATTATTGTAAATGTTCCGCGGTTCTGATTTTTTCGCGGAAAAGTGTGATAGTGACTAGAGACTGACCCAATTCGGAAAAGAAATCGCCGGGCTCAGATTTACCAAAGAAATACTCTCTAGTCTTAACATGATAGCCAACTCAACTCAAAGTGACAACTTGGCGATGCTGGAATGGGTATTTCTAGTTGGTGAACATCTAATCCACCTACTCT